AGCTTACACGCAAAAACTTAACCAAGAATTTCTAAGTCGAAAAAGGGGCATAATTATGTAAAAAAGCAAATCAGAGTTATGGGACTTGTGCCAATCATCTTAGATAATCACAGAGAACAAGTGTGTGAAGTTTCAATCCATTCCCTTCAGTACTTATGGAGATACCAGCTTACATGCAAAAACTTAACCAAGAATTTCTAAGTCAAAAAGGGGCATAATTATGTAAAAAAGCAAATCAGAGTTATGGGACTTGTGCCAATCATCATAGATAATCACAGAGAACAAGTGTGTGAAGTTTCAATCCATTCCCTTCAGTACTTATGGAGATACCAGCTTACATGCAAAAACTTAACCACAGGGACGCCAATGCCGACAAATGGGTGACTGCATTAGCTCGATTATTCTGCGAATAGTCGAGCTAAAAATGGGTCAAAGACAGAAAAGGCCGGGTTGCATATGTATACAAAATATCATGAGGCTGTGAATTGTTACTTAAATTTTCTACCACTGACCATTGATGTTGAAAATTTAACTAAGTCAGTAAACCAGAAATGGATGAGCAACAGACCTGAAATGGAATCACACTATATGGGACCATATGTCAATGCTGTGAACCACATATCAAGAGGCTGTTGTAAGTAGTTGCTGAGAAAACTGTTACGAAAATTTCCTACCATTGACCATTTATGTCGAAAAGTTAACCAAGTCGGCAAACAGAAAGTGGATAAGCTACAGACATGAAATCAAATCCAACGGTATGGGACCATGTGTTTAAAGCTGTATACCAAATGCCAAATATCAAGAGGCACAGTGATAAGTAGCTGCTGAGAAAACTGCTATGAAAATTTCCTACCATTGACCATTAATGTCGAAAATTTAACTAAGTCGGCAAACAGGAAGTGGATGAGCAACAGACCTGAAATGAAATCCCACAGTATGGGACCACGTGTTAATGCTGTATACTAAATATCAAAAGGCTGTGATAAGTAGTTGCTGAGAAAACTGTTACGAAAATTTCCTACCATTGACCATTAGTAATGTCGAAAATTTAACTAAGTCGGCAAACAGGAAGTGGATAAGAGACAGACCTGAAATTGAATCCCACATTATGAGACCACATGTCAATGCTGTATGCTAAATATCAAGAGGCTGTGATAAGTAGCTGCTGAGAAAACTGGGTGACTGCATTAGCTCGATTATTCTGCGAATAGTCGAGCTAAAAATGGGTCAAAGACAGAAAAGGCCGGGTTGCATATGTATACAAAATATCATGAGGCTGTGAATTGTTACTTAAATTTTCTACCATTGACCATTAATGTCGAAAATTTAACTAAGTCGGCAAACAGGAAGTGGATGAGCGACAGACCTGAAATCAAATCCCACATTATGGGACCACATGTTAATGCTGTATTACGGTATAGGACCATGTGTTAATGCTGTATACCAAATATCAAAAGGCTGTGATAAGAAGTGATGGAAATCGGATGAAATTTGTCCCAATCGATCATCAGTTCAGTCGGATGGGTCATAATCGATAACTTTTCGAATAAAGTCACGTTAAAAAGAAATAGGGAAGTAACATTTTTTCCCCGAGGCATTTGATTATATCCAGTAACATGAACTTCATTTAGCACTTTTCAACACAGTTTTTACCTTATATAGTCATATTTTTACGAAATAGATTTTATTTTTCAATGGATGTCAAATAATAACATTCATATCACATTATATTACTATTGTTTACATAACTTATTGATCCTGTTTAACTCCAAATTGTCTCTGAGTGATTTTTCGCGATTGGCGAGGTGTTCCTAAAAGAAAATTACGGTCAGAATAAATTCCCTTTGATACTTTTAACATTTTCGACGACGCGAAATTTTTGTGAATCGATTATTGTCGCTTTACATAACAGTAACTGATTATCGGCGACTTGCGACAATCGAACATCACTAGTGATAAGTAGTTGCTGAGAAAACTGTTACGAAAATTTTCTACCATTGACCATTAATGTTGAAAATTTAACTAAGTCGGCAAACAGGAAGTGGATGAGAGACAGACCTGAAATTGAATCCCACATTATTGGACCACATGTTAATGCTGTATGCCACATATCAAGAGGCTGTGATAAGTAGCTGCTGAGAAAACTGTTACAAAAGTTTTTTCCCCGCCCATCCGCCCGATCGCCCGCCGCCCAACATTCACTATACTATAACCCGGGTTTGCACCTGTGCAATCCGGCCAAAAATGTTTTGCCACTGCATTAATACAACACAAAGTAATGTAGGAACAGAATTTTTTTGTTTCTATACAATTGAAGATTGCCATAATGCATAGATCACTGACCTATCTAATTCTTATTATCAGATTAGTGGTTAAATCTATTGTTATTAAAAAAAAACGATCAGAGTAGGAATCTATCAATGCAGATGAGTCTAGTGAATTTGGTAGTGAAGGTCATATTTCACATGGCCTAAATTCCATGACTGTACATCAAAGGACAACACAATAAGATACTTTGTCAAAATCTAGGCCAGCTGATATCAAAGTTCACTTTACATCTTAATCTGTGCACATGGTTCAAATTTCATAGCTGCACATCAAAGGACCAGAAAGTAGGTCACATCATCAAAATCTAGGTCACCTTATATCAAAGTTCAATTTTACAACTAAAATGTGCACATAGTCCAAATTTCATGGCTGTACATCAAAGGACAAGAAAGTAGGTCACTGTCTCCTTGGGCAAGGCTTAATTTTGACCCAAGGTATTAATTCAAACAATCTTGATACAGGTCCACCAAACAACATTTAATGTCAAATATCTAAGCTGTAGCTTTCTCCAATTCAGAAAACATTTGTTTTAGTTTCTGTTTTTACTATGTGTACATAATGAAAATCAATGCCCCCGGGCAGGGCCAATTTTGACACCAGGGGCACCAGGGGCAAAATTTGAACAACTTCGGTAGAGAAACTTTAGATGATATTATAAAGCAAACATCAAAGCCCTAAGCCTTGTACATTCAGACAAGAAGATATTTTAATTTTTACTATGTGTATAGAGTGAAAATCAATGACCACAAGGCGGGGCCGATTTTGACCCCAGGGCTATAATTTGAACAATCTTGGTAGAGGTTCACTACACAAAGTCTCATGCCAAATATCTAACCTCTAGCCTTTGTCAATTTAGAGAAGAAGATTTTTCAAGTTTTTACTATATACATATAAGGAAAACTATCGCTTCTGGGGCAGGTCAATTTTAACACTAAGGGCATAATTTAAACAACTTTGGTAGAGGACCCATAGAAGATATTTTATAATACTGCACGTTTGTAATGTCGCTTTTCATTGGATAATCGTGACGTTTATATAGTTTTATATACACGGCTGTTGTCGATTCATGAAAAAATCTTACTTTTTTCTCTAAAAAATGATGTTTGCTGTATTATAAATTCGTTATAAAGATTGTTGATAAGTTATATTGCCATATATAAACGGCTGTTTGCAATATAACCCTCGCTTAAAAGCTCGGGTTATATTTACAAACAGCCGTTTATATAGGGCCATATAACCTGTCAACAATCTTTATAACTAATAATATATAAAATATCAAAACACTAAGCCTTGTACCTTCAGACAAGAAGATTTTTAATTTTTTACTATATGACATAGTGACTGAAAATCAATGACCCCCAGGGTGGGGCCAATTTTGACCCCAGGGCCATCATTTGAACAATCAAGCTAGAGGTTCATTACACAATGTTTCATGCAAAATATCTAACCTCTAGCCTTTGTCAATTTAGAGAAGATGATTTTTTAAAGTTTTTACTATATACATACATGTATAAGGAAAAATACTATATAGATATTACTTGACAAAATTTGAACATGGTTTAAGCGTCAAGGCTGTGATAAGCCTAGAAGAACAGCATTTATATATAAAGATAGAGCTTTTGAGAATGAAAACAGGAAAGGTTATCCATGAACAGTTATGTGAAGCTTGCGGTGAATCTGCTGTTTCATTTAATACAGTTTGTTTCATTTAATACAGTTTAAAGATGGATTAAGCGATTTTCAGATGGAAAATTTTATGTTTCTGACGACCCCTGTAGCGGACGGCCAGTTGAGGTTACAGACAAGTTCCATGTTGAAAAAGTTAGGGACCTAATGAATAGAGGTCGGCAATTAACATGCAAGGAGTTAGCTGAAAGTCTTGGTATTTCTGGGTCAATTCATACAATTCTGACACGTCATTTGCGAATGCGCCAAGTTTTTGCAAGATGGTTGCCACATCACCTCACGCGGGACCAAATTACAGACCGGTTAGTGATTGCAGAAAATCACTAAAAAAGATATGAAAATGAAGGTGAACAGTATTTAAACCTCATGGTGGCAGTAGATCAGGCATGGCTTCATAGCTATTAACCCGAATCAAAGTCACAGTCTGCCAATTGGCACACTCCAGGGTCCCTAAGGCCTGCAAAATTTCGACAAAAGCAATGGAACCTGAGACAGCTCGCAATTATAGTCTATGATAATGGCGGTGTATTGGTGACAGATTATGTTCATCTTTGCGACAAAATTTGACACTAGGGACAAATTTGAACAACTTTGGTAGAGGACCTAAAATGATATCATAAACCAAATATGAAAGCTCTGGGCATTGTACTTTCAGACAAAAAATTTTTAATTTGCATTTTTGAAACTTTTTCTGGCCTCATGACCTACTCATGCAACAGACCAGAACCATTTAAACAACTTTGCAAGATGACCACCCAAGGACCATTCCTGTAATGTTTGGTTTCTGTGCAGTCATTGGTTTCAGAGGAGATGTTGTTTAAAGTTGTTCATGACGCACGACAATGCACAATGGATGATGGGGGACGTTGTGCTCAAGTGAGCTAAAAAAACAAACTGACAAAGTCTGGTTGCATTGTGTAACACTAAAATATTATGTTTTATATGAAACAAGAAGGTCATATTGTACAGGCTTATTACAAACATACCTTAACATCTGAAAACATGACAGGCAGGTCATTGGCTTTGTTACTGAGATCTAGATGATATAGAACATCTTCTGATAGGTGCTCAAGATGAGGGTTTCTTACTGTCACTGGACCATCTCTGTTATTTATATAAAGCATGACATCTTTACTAATAGAACAACAAAATCAGTTTCAGTGCAACACTCACAGGGCAACATTCATTAAAGAAAATATAAGAGAAAATAAACTATTAGTCATGTTTTATTACAAAACTAAATGAATACATAAATATCAGGATATCTTTCACAGGTGTACTAGAATGCATATATGACAGAAACATACCCAGTTCTTAAATAAGTTTTTTCTGGCATAAATTATAACAAGAGCCATGTCAACATGGCCATCCCCCACCAAATGTGTTTGCTCATTGGAAGAATGTATATGTAGTAGAGCAGAATAATTCCATTTTAAGAGGTCTTTTGATAATGAAAACTGATGGCTATAGTGATTACAGATTTGAAACCTATGTGAATACTGATGGCTGAAAATAACAAAAAAATAATGCAGGGTAGGTTATCATTCTTGTGTGCTGCATCCCTCCTCAGTAAAATCTATCCACCTATGAAGTTTCAAGTTGATACCTCAAATACTTTTTGAGAAAAAAATTGAATTGAAAAATTAAGTATGAAAAATAACAAAGGGCAATAACTCAAAAATTATAAAAGGTAGAGTTATCATTCTTGTGCACTGCACACCTCCTGAGTTAGATCTATGCACCTATGAAGTTTCAAAATGATATCTCAAAGACCTTTTGAGTTATGCTCTGGACAAAAATTAATTTTGAAAAATAAAAAAAGGGCAATAACTAAACAATTATGCAGGGTAGAGTTATCATTCTTGTGCACTGCACTCTTCCTCAATGAGATCCATCCACCTATGAAGTTTCAAGTTGATACCTCAAATACTTTTTGAGATAAGCTCCGGACAAAATAGTATGAAAAAGAACAAAGGGCAATAACTCAAAAATTGTACAGGGAACAGTTATCATTCTTGTGCACAGCATTCCTCCTCAATAAAATCTATCCACCTATGACATTTCATGTTGATATCTCAAAGGCCTTTTGAGTTATGCTCTGGACAAAAATCAATTTTGAAAAATAACAAAGGGCAATAACTCAAAAATTATGCAGGGTAGAGTTATCATTCTTGTGCACTGCACTCCTACTCAATGAGGTCTATCTACCTATGAAGTTTCAAGTTGATAACTCAAATACTTTTAGAGATAGGCTTTAAAAAAATCACTCGAGGAAAAATCTGGTTGTATACTGATTATTATACCTTTTTTGTCTATTTAATACGAGTATGCATGAATTCAGCATTTACGTATTTACCTTTCTTTTGTCTACTGAATCTCTACTAATGGCATGTGCATACATGTATATCTATATCCCTAGCAACACTACATGTATATCTATATCCCTAGCAACACAAATTCAACTTTCATTCAATTCACTAGACCAAACAAGAGGGCCATGATGGCCCTGAAGTCGCTCACCTGTATATAGGCCCACAGAGCGAGGCCAGTTTAAACCCCAGGACTTTTATTTGAACAATATTGGTAAACACCCATTAGAAGATGTTTCATGCTAAACATCTAAGGTCTAGCTCGTTGAGTTTTTAAAAAAAAAGATTTTTTAAGTTTTTACTATACACATATAGTTAAAAGCAATGACATCCCTAGGGCGGGGCCAGTTTTGACCCCAGGGCTTTTATTTGAACAAACTTTGAAGACACTCACTAGAAAGTGTTTCATGCTTAATATCTAAACTCTAGCTATTTGTTTTTATTCAAAGAAGATTTTTAAGTTTTTGCTATACACATATAAGGAAAATTAATGTCCCCCGGGGCAGGGCCAATTTTGACCCTAGTGGCAGATGTGTCATGCTTAATATCTAAACTCTAGCTATTTGGGTTTTTTCAAAGAAGATTTTTTTAAAAAGCTTTTGCAATACACATATAAGGAAAATCAATGACCCCCGGGACAGGGCCAATTTTAACCCCAGGGATCTTATTTGAACAAATTTGGTAGACACCCATTAGAACATCTTTCATGCTAAGTATCTTAGCTCTAGCTCTTTGGGTTCTCTAAAAGAAGTTTTTTTAAGTTTTTACTATATGCATATAGGGAAAATCAATGACCCCCTGGGACGGGGCCAATTTTGACCCCAGGGCTTTTATTTGAACAAACTTGATAGACACTCATTAGAAGATGTTTCATGCTAAATATCTTAGCTCTAGCTCTTTGGGTTCTTTAAAAGAAGATTTTATAAGTTTTTACTATATGCATATAGGGAAAATCAATGACCCCCTGGGGCCGGGCCAATTTTAACCCCAGGGCTCTTATTTGAACAAACTTGGTAGACATCCATTAGAAGATGTTTCATGCTAAATATCTTAGCTCTAGCTCTTTGGGTTCTTTAAAAGAAGATTTTTTAAGTTTTTACTATATGCAAATAGGGAAAATCAATGACCCCCTGGGGCGGGGCCAATTTTGACCCCAGGGCTTTATTTGAACAAACTTGATAGATACTCACTAGAAGATGTTTCATGCCAAATATCTAAGCTCTACCTCTTTGGGTTTTTTAAAAGAAGACATTTTAAGTTTTTTCTATCGGTTGCCATGGCAACCAGAGTTCTGCATGGAATTCTTTGAACAATTTTTAAAGGTGACCACCAAAGGAACATTCCTGTGAAGTTTGGATGAAATTGGCTCAGCGGTTTATGAGGAAATGTCATTTAAAGTAAAAGTTTACGGACGACGGACGGACGCCGGACGAAAAGCGATCACAAAAGCTCACCCTGTCACTTTGTGACAGGTGAGCTAACAAAAAAATTTAACGTACAATACAACATGTTACCTTGGAGTTATGCGGCCACTGATGTCTTTTTCATCACCTGGTTCCATGAATCTTGGAAAGTCTGACATTGTTAAATACTGTAAACTGTAGGAAAAAAAATATTGGTTATCAATTAAACAGTTTTACCTCAAATAAATATGGTTTCCTTCATGCATACACTATTGAGTACTAATTTCTACCAACAAAATACAGTAGTAGCAGTGTAACATTTTATAATTTCATTTTCATGCTATATGAATGAAGATAATTATGCCATGGAAAAATTGTAACAATTAATTTCTATGTACAGTCGACTCTCGTTATCTCGAAGTCATCGGGACCGTCCAAAAAATATTGAGATAACGAAATGTCGAGATAAACATATTAGGGTTTGAATAAGGCAGAAACTGATTTTTACAAAAGACATGTGCATACCTTATGTCAAATAAACTATGATATCCCCATGTCTTGTTTTCATAGGCCTAGTAAATAACAAAGTAACATTAGCGGATGTTTACCAGCGGAAATACGGGTGTCTGTGATAAAAATACATAGTGAGGTTTACTCAGTAATACACCAATAAAGTGAAAACATTGTTATCAGGGTGGTTGATCCGGATATCCTCCCGGGGTAGTTATCGGATCTTTCTCGAGATTGTTCGACCGCTGATTGATTTAGTGGTGATAGCGTTTCTATACTTTCACTTTTTCATTTACATTTAAAGTCATAATGAATTGATACAGTGTTCGAATATTTATAAAGAACGTATCATTCACTCATTTTGGACTTAAGTCAATCAACATGTTAATAGATTATTTTTTATAAAAACAGATAAACTTGTCACAAACATAATCATCATTATGATGCTCGCTATTGAGCAATTATCGTCTAGTTTGTGTTTTTCACACGTCTGAAGGGAACAGATGAAAGATAACTATAAGTCGAGATAAACAAAGGAAAATAGTGTGAAAATAATTGTTGGGGCTGAAATTTTAAATCGAGATACTGAAAAAATCGAAATAAAAATATCAAGATAAACAAATATTTCCAATATAGATAAAGAAAGAAGAAAATCGGGACTTTCAAAATTTCATCGAGATAACGAAATATCGAGAAAAGCGAAGTCGAGATAACGATAGTTGACTGTATATCTATTAAATTATGCTTAATTTACTGTGCTCCTCATAGCTTGAAAACCATAAGGAAAGAAACAGAGAATAAACTTGCCATACAAAAAATTGTCATCAGCTTTTTTTAATTACTTTGTGCTGTATGAACAAGAAACAACATCACATATTCAATCAAGAGCAAAAGCAAGATATAGACCAAATGTTGACCATTTTAATACAGTATGGTACATGGCACACTTTCATTTTTTAGCTGAAATTACTACATTTTATAGCTCTAGTTATATATTCAATTAATTTTTCATGTTTTTAACAAAAAGTATTTTTTCTATAAACAGGGACATTTAGAAAATGACTATTTTTTCAGGTAAACACAATTCTAATTAAGTATCAGGACAGTTTTGCAGAAATGAGGAAATTGTTGTTCTGCATGTATTTCACTAATACACTTACAGATTTAAAATATTTTTACTGATAACTTTGTTGTTTATGTGTATGACTAAACTAGGTCAACATTGACCAATGTAAGCACCTGCCACATGTAAATATGTCATTCCTATTTTAGTGATGACGCAAAATTAGTAATGTTCACACACCAACAGGCTGTATCACAGTGGCAGAAAGTGATACAGTGAGTACAGTAAAAATCAATTTCATTGTTAAGTATAATATAAACAAGAGGGAAATGATGGCACTTATATCCCTCACCAAACTATAAAGTCTATACATGACAAGGAACAATTAATATTGATAACCATGAATGAAAAGCAGTTTTAGGTTAGGTCAAAATCTACAATAGGTCAACTGATAACAAAATCAAAATCTGCCTCTAAATAGTGTACATGTAAAAGAAGCCACTAACTGCTATTGAAAAACAACTGTAGCTCATAATGGCAGTCACTGGATGCTATGAAAATTCACTGGTTGCTATGAAAAGTCAATGGTTGCTATCCAAAACATAGCACCCATAAGCATTATTTGACAGCACTTGGTAGAGACCTACCTGCCAATGTGTCATGTCCATCATTTATAACCTCTTACATTTGCCAGTACAGAAATGAGAGAAGAAGTTTTTCAAGATTTTCAGTAAACAAATAACCACCATGTTAAGGCAAAGGCTATATACATGTACTTGAGCAAACTTGTTAGTTGTCCACTATCATAGTTTTAGCCACTGTGGGTTAAGAGGGGATTTTTTAATGTTTTACTGTACATATTTAAGGAAAACCTATAACTGGGTGACAACATCTGGTATAAGGCATTCCAAATGAAACAAGCAATTATCATAGTATTGCAAGCAATCCATAAGTCCCCTACCGGTTAGAACCCCAGCAACATTCTGATGGGCCATTGGCCATTCAATTTTACCGGTGAATGAATGACATAAATGAACTTAAATCTTTTGAGTTCTAAGTTTGTCTATATCATAGTAATGTGTTAAGTTTCCCTTCCTAGTAAGGAAATTATGTTTATGCAACAGATAATCAAAAGGTCCAATTTTCTCAGGATGAATAAGTATCAGTAATGTTTCAACTTTTCTCTTTTTTAAGTAAATTTATTGGAAAAAATCTTAAAAAGGGATCTCAGGAAACAGTTTTTATGAGCATACAGACAGACAGACTGAAGGAGACTCTTAAGTTATTTTTTTTTAACATCCCTGTTACCAAAATATAACATATTTTAATACAAAATTCTTAAAGAGGAGATAACTTTACTTTAAGTTTAAATATACCATTTATAGTCACAAAGAAGATAAGTAAAAAAATAACAATTTTCAAATATAGCATTAACTATAATGTATAGTAAGTAACAAAGATGAAAATTGAAAACAAAAATATAATGTAGGTGTTGATAATGAATGTTTATTTAGAATTTGAAGAAAATCCATGAAGAAATAAGAAAGTTAAAGAATGAATAAGAAAAATTCAAAGTTTAAGGAGGAGATAATTCTGGGAATATGGATCTAGATTTATAAACCTTGTCATATTATTATGATCTGGGATTTTAAAGTAAATCCTATAAGGAATGAAGAAGTTGGAGTAAGAAATACCAATTTCTCGAAAAAAAATCTAAGTTCAAGGGAGACATAATTCTAGAAAAGTTTTGCTAGAGTATTTAACCTTCTCACAAATGTTGAGTGATAATAAGAAACATATAAATGAAGTTTGAAGTAGATACATTAAGAAATAACAAAGTTATTTAAAAAAGACAACATTTTTTTTCATAAAAATTCTAAGTTCAAGGGAGGTCATTCTGATAATTTTTGTGCTACAGTTGTAAACCTTGTCACATATGATGTGGTTGATGACCAGAAACTTACATTTAAAGTTTGAAGTAAACACCTTAAGAAATTAAGAACGTGTAGTGAAAAAGCGTAAAAATTCAAATCAGAAATCTTGAAATTCAGTCTATTTGTTGCCATAGCAACCAGAATTTTCAACATAGGAAGAAAAGAGAAAGGTGTGCATAATTTACAGACTGTCATCTACCCATATTTCAAGTTTCATAAAAATATTTTCAGTACTTTTTGAGTTATCACTGGATCCAGTTTATGTGTAAAATTTGCCATATTTTCAGACTATTTGTTGCCATAGCAACCAGAATTTTCAACATAGGAAGAAAAGAAAAAGACGTGCATAATCTCCATACTGCCATTTATCGATATTTTAAGTTTCATTAAAATATTTTCAGTACTTTTTGCGTTATCGCGGGATCCAGTTTTGTCGACGGACGGACTGACGGACTGACAGACAGACGGACAGAGGGTAAACCTAAGGTCCCCTCCGGTCAAACCTGTAGGGGACTAAAAATGGCCATTGGGAAGAATGACCCTTTGTAGTTGTTGGTAGTTGTTTCAATTTGTTTCATAGTATGGGAATTTAAAGTTGGTCTTGATAATGGTTTGAGGCAGTCTGTAAGGGGACTGTTTTCAAGCTGTTTTGAAACATAATACGGCACTGATAAATGGGTATTTGTTTTAGGTTCCTCCACTCTAGAGAATCAAGCATATGTTTGATTTTAGTCTCTTAAGTGTACTGACCAAACACTGAAAATGTACTCAAGCTGGGATACCACAAGTCTCTTGTAGGGGGACATAATGGACCTAAATGCTACACAGAAGCTTAGAGTCTGGTTTGCCTTTCTTTACAATTCTATAACTGTGAATGTCCTAGGTTAGATTATATGATATTATGCCACCATTGCTGAAGATTACTGTTTCCTGTTTTCTAGGATGGTATTGTGCTGGGTATGTATATTTTGTTAAATTTGAGTTTTACATTTTGTAATTTGGATGATTTAGCATTTTGAAGGACAAAACTAGAACTCTGCTAGTCGGATTTGTCGCCTTGTGAACAATATAGTTTAAGAGAAATGGCAAAGAAAAAAATGAAATTTGAAAATCAACAAAGGGCAATAACTCAAAAAATAAGAAATGCAGATCAGCAGTTTCTGTGCACTGCACTTCTTATCAATAAGATCTACCATCCTATTAAGTTTCAAGTCTAAAGCTTTTATAATTTATGAGAAATGGCCTGGACAAAAATAAAGTATGAAAATTAACAAAGGGCAATAACTCAAAAAATAAGAAATGCAGATCAGCAGTTTCTGTGCACTGCACTTCTTATCAATAAGATCTATCATCCTATTAAGTTTCAAGTCTAAAGCTTTTATAATTTATGAGAAATGGCCTGGACAAAAATAAAGTATGAAAATTAACAAAGGGCAATAACTCAAAAAATAAGAAATGCAGAGTACCAGTTCTTGGGCACTGCACTTCTTCTTAATGAGATCTATCATCCTATGAAGTTTCATGTCCATAGCTTTTATACTTTAGGAGAAAAGGCCTGGACAAAAATAAAGTATGAAAATTAACAAAGGGCAATAACTCAAAAAATAAGAAATGCAGAGTACCAGCTCTTGTGCACTGCACTTCTTCTTAATGAGATCTATCATCCTATGAAGTTTCAAGTCCATAGCTTTTATACTTTAGAAGAAATGGCCTGGACAAAAATAAAGTAGGAAAAATTAACAAAGGGCAATAACTCAAAAAATAAGAAATGCAGAGTACCAGCTCTTGTGCACTGCACTTCTTCTTAATGAGATCTATCATCTTATGAAGTTTCAAGTCCATAGATTTTATACTTAAGGAGAAATGGCCCGGACAAAAATAAAGTATGAAAATAAACAAAGGGCAATAACTCAAAAAATAAGAAGTACAGATAAAATAAGAAATGCAGAGTACCAGTTCTTGTGCACTGCACTTCTTCTTAATGAGATCTATCATCTTATGAAGTTTCAAGTCCATAGATTTTATACTTAAGGAGAAATGGCCCGGACAAAAATAAAGTATGAAAATAAACAAAGGGCAATAACTCAAAAAATAAGAAGTACAGATTACCGGTTCTTGTGCACTGCACTTCGGGTCATTATGAGAAGCATGCATACCAAGTTTGAAGTCAATCCGACTTAAAATGACTGACTTATGCTCCGGACGACAACGACGCCGCCGACAAAAGTAACCCCTATATGTCGCCTTTTTCAAGGCGACACAAAAAGGATTCAAAAGTTTACAGCTGGAATAGGTCTTGTTGTTAGTGGTATATCTGCAATATGTTTCATTGCAGGAAATTTTCAAATAAAATTGTCAAGACAGGGGTATTTCTTTGCTTTGCTTTGTTTTATTTGGTTTTGCCTTACTGGAATTGAGATTTCTAAGAAGCTTCCCAATACCTTTCTCCAATATTTCAATAGCTGGCATGGGTTGGTGGGAGGGATATAGCTTTTGTATAAGGTTATCTATCTCTATAGGGGTATCTGTCATATCCTTCACTTTCATCCATGATTATTATTTAACTTTAAGAGAAAAAGATTTTACTTTACTGTGTTTAGGTTGCAAGACATCACCAATATCCTTTGTAACCCTCTTATGCTTTACTTAGCTTTAAGTTTTGTGACTTCTTTGCATTTGTTGATAAAAACTAGAACTCCATGAGTCGTATGTGTCGCCTTGTGAACAGTATAGCTGTCACTTTAGTGGCATTTGAACCGATTGTAACATCATGATTAATTAACTGTCAAAAATAAAAATACCAAGGAAATGTTTTACATTGACAGATCAAATGGAGGACTCTGTGAAGGATTCTTACGCACTGCACTTCAGGTCAATGAAAAAAGCTTACATACCAAAATTAGAGTCAATCAAACTTGTAGTGTCCAAGTTATGCTCTGGACAAGCCTATTAAGTAAGAAAATAAACAAAGGGCAATAAATAAAAAATCATGAAATGCAGAGAACAAGTTCTTGTGCACTGCACTTCTTCTCAATGAGATTTATTATCCTATGAAGTTTAAAGTCAATAGCTTTTATTGTGAAGGAAAATTGGCCAAGACAGAAATAAAGTATTATAATTAACAAAGGGCAATAACTTTAAATTCATGAAGTACAGAGTACCAGCTCTTGTGCACTGCACTTCTTCTCACTGAGATCTATCATCCTACGAAGTTTCAAGTCCATAACTTTTATTGTTTAGGTGAAAATACCGGGACAAAAATAAAGTAAGAAAATTTGCAAAGGGCAGTAACTCAAAAATCATGGAGTACCATTTTTGTGCACTGCACTTCATCTCAATGAGATCTATCATCCTAAGAAGTTTCATGTCCATAGCTTTTATAGCCTGGAGAAAAATAAAATATGAAAATACCCCAAGGGTAATAACTAAAAAAATATGAAGTGCAGAGTACCCGTTTTTGTGCACTGCACTTTTTCTCAATTAGAAATACATGTATCATCCTATGAAGTTTCAAGTCCATAGCTTTTATAGTTTAGGAGAAATGGCCCAGACAAAAATAAAGTAAGAAAATTAACAAAGGGCAATAACTCAAGCATCATAAAGTACAGAGTATCCGTTTGTAAACATTGCACTTTATCTCAATGAGATCTATCATCCTATGAATTTTCAAGTCCATAGCTTTCATAGTTTATGAGAAATGGCCTGGACAAAAGTATGAAAATTAACAAGTGCAAGAACTCAAAAAATAAGAAGTGCAGAGTACCTGTTCTTTTGCACTGCACTTCTTCTTAATGAGATCTATCACCCTATGAAGTTTCAAGTCCATAGCTTTTATAGTTAAGGAGAAATGGCCAGGACAAAAATAAAGTATGAAAACTAACAAAGGGCAATAACTCAAAAATAAAGTAGTTACCATTCTTGTGCACTGCACTTCGGGTCATTGAAAGAAGCATGCATGCCAAGTTTTGTGTCAATCCAACTTATAGTGACTTGAGTTATGCTCCGGACAAGTAACCCCTATATGTTGCCTTATTCAAGGCGACACAAAAAATAGCATTTGTCTGCACTACAGACTTTTAACTGGATTTTGCCATTCATAAAATGTACATAAAACCTTGCAAAAGACTTAGCTTGGTCTTTTGAAATTTAAAGCCATTCATAAAATGAACATAAAACCTTTAACCATAAAGGGATAATTCCTTTTTTCATTGGTAATTAGAAAATTAGAACCGCATTGACCACACCCAACCCAGGGCTTTTATTTGAACAAACTTGGTTATTTCTGCATTAAAGGTCTTTCAAATTTTGGAGGATCAAGTTGCATTCCATTCTGACACAAGAACCTCGGTATATACAAGCATTACAACCATCCCTTGTATTTAAGTGTGCTAAAATGCATAACCTGGTACATCTTCCTATATAACAATACTTTCAAAGCATTGAAGCATTAATATAGTCTAGAATGTTAGCTGTATGGGCCATATTCTCTTTCTATTCTCATACAAAAAGGCTTATGTGATTTGATTTTACCATTCTGCATGACTTAAAGCAGTAAATGATGTCTTTGTACCCAAAATATGATGTTTATAACTGATAAAAAGAAATTAAGCAGGATTTTATTTGAACCATAATGAATCAAATGCACACACATATATAAAATATATGGAAACAGCATCAGAAGACTTATTGGAGCAGCAGAGTGTTGGCGATAAAATTTTATTTCCCGTAAATTACATAATATTACAGAATTACAGTAAACTTCCTTTGATAATGTGGATTTTCTAACTAGTATTCAATGTCAAACAGATCCATGGCGAATTTAATAGTTGTTTTTACAGCTAATTAACAATACACTTTGACCCATTGACTATCATATACATAATCGGGACGTTCTTGTAAATAATGTTAACTATGATTGTGATAGTCGGAATTTAAAGACAGTTAAACTTCATTCGCTTGAACTCGGATCCTAGGTCCAGAACTCACAGCAGATTTGACGAACCCCTTTGTTTTGTTTGAGCTGCAACAACTGCCACCCAACATAGAGCCATGACTGAATATAGCTCAGAATTTATTATTTAATTCACATTGCTCTGTAACCCTGAGAAATTCAAGGACGAATTTCAATAAAGCAAAGGAGTATGTCATGGTTCAGAACTGCTCACTTTTTAGGGGAGATGTGTAAGCTGCCATATAGCTGCCACAAGGGTTCCAGGTTCAGGTCCCGGTCAGGCAGTGGCGTAGCTGCCTATACGCCAAATACGCACATGTGTACAATTCATTTTGGGAGATAGAAAATAAGAAAATCATTTCAATTCGAAAAATGACTAAAAAACTAGTGCCTTTGTTCTACTTACGCAATGAAAAAATCCTCATTTATGAAAAAGACCATATTGATTGTATTTGATTATAACAGGGCTTTTTAAATAGACAGACCCTAATTATTATGTACTAGATAGTTCTATAAAATTAGTCATTTGTTTCTTATGTAGATATAGATACCTATAATATCATATGGTCTCTGTTTCGTTTTTAAACGTGATCAACTTATGTAATTTACTCGCTCACATATGTAGCTTAAATCGAGCTCTTTCTGTAAAATGTCCAAGTGCTGTTTTACTGGAGTCAATGCTCGGTGTATTTAATTGTTCAGTGCCTATCTTTAAAAGGTTATTAAGAATTGATAAAACTGAGAAATAGATGAACCTGCAGAAATTACAGAACCAATAGATTCTAAAGCAGCAGAATCAGTGGTTGAAGATGAGAAAACAGAAGAGGAGACAGATGTTCAAACTGATCATCTAGAAGGATTTCATTTAATAGAAGAACAAGAAGACTTAGATGTAACATGTAGTGTAGCAGAGACAGAGGATGAAACCACCATTCCAGAAAGTTTAGCTGAAAGTAGGACAGATGAAACAATCGCAGAAGATACAAGTAGAGAAGATAGAACATTGCAAGAGATAGATGGAGAGAAAGTAACAGGAGACAGAAGGAAATGGAGTGAAGAAACGAAAGCGACAACTACCACAACAACCAACTAGAAAGTCAGAGAGAACAAAGAGGATACCTGACAGATATAAAGATTATCACATGCATAGCATTATCAACAGTAGACCATATGATCACAGATTGCAGGCATTGGAATCCATGATTGCCTCAGGTGTGTTGAAGAATATAGAAATAGATACTGCAAGGAAAATTTTTGATGCTATAATGAAATAAATGCTATATTGAAATGATATTGAAAATTGTATTTTACTGTACCAATAAATACAAATTTGAGGTAACTAATTGTGTTTTAATATGTTTTTAATATTGATAGAAGTTGCTAAGATAGAAGTTGCGCATATGTTTTTTTTTCGCAGGAAATATGATTATTGATCATAATTCGTGACATGGCGTGTATGTTTTTTTTTCTCAATAAGTATGATTATTTATCATTTTTTAGCGATATTTTATTGCTTTGAAATAGTTTTTTTCGCGACATTATATGCTAGCACGTTGTTCGCGATAATTGAGAGAAATTTATGTCGTTTGAGACACTATGCAAACATACTGATTTTATATGCTTTAAATTAAAACAATTTTTTTGTTTTTAAATGTATATTGTTTAAAAATACAGCATTGTATTTTTGATGCTGTTACAATATGATGTATAGATATTTTATGGAAGGACAAACATTTTGTTCTTAATTGTAGGATAACCTTTAAAACTGAATATATTAAAAGGGAATGTTTGCTTCCATGAAATGTTGCTAAATATATTTTAACTGACAGACTATTTGACATGACTATTTGACATGACCATGATGGGACGTCATTTTCTCAAAGCAGGGAAGTGCGTAACCAAAGAGAAATAATCAGTTGTAGTTTATTGATTGAAATCTGTAGGAGTGATTTCCCTTGGCTGTTTTATTAGTTAGTCATGCATGTAATTGTTCCCGCCATTTTCTGAGTTGTCAGAAGGCAGACATGTTTTTCAGTAGTTTATAATAATAAGTTGATGATTAATTCTTAAAAAGGATTGTGGCTTTTGGATTGAGGTTAGTGAAGTTTTATATTGGTTGCTTACTTTGTTTAAATGAGTTACAAATGAGCTGTGTGTCTGAAGTTTATTAAAATAAGATGTACATGTATATTGTACATGATTTGTTTACAATGCATCTGATAATGGCAGCATATTTAAAGTTAATATCTATTTGCAGTAATTAATATAAATCACTGTCATTCTCTATTGTGCACATGTTTAATTACAGTATGTTGCAGTAACACCACAAGACTGAGAGTATTTTTGTATGAGTGTCATTTGAGTCCAATCCACAATTGGTATGTATAATTGTACAAGTCATATTATTGTTTTTACTATTTTATAAGTTTACTATATTCATTTAATAGGCCACTGGATTGAATTATTTAATATTGAATATAATGCGGAAAACTGTACATGGAATTAATGTTCATTTATTAATATTAAAGTAATTAATTGATGTAATGGTTTAATGACTGTTATATTGGCTATTTGATGTGACAGTGAGATGCATGTTATAATCATGCTATGACTTAAATTGTATATATTGTGTTGTGTTAATGATCTCAGTATGTTCATATATTTAGTATTGCTATATTTGTTTGTTTCAGGGCTTGATCTTCTTGATACTGATTATATATTGATTGGTGCTTAAACAAGTGCTTGAAGTTGTGATGTGACTTTAACCTCTTGGGTTAAATCTACTTGAAGCTTTATATTATACATTGTAATTATATACTAAGATCATACACTGATGGACATTTCAATTAAAAGTATTGAACAAACTCAGCCTCGTTGATAATTTATACCTTTACATCTTTAAGGGCATAATTTTAACAAAGGTAACAGATTTATATGACTGTTTGTCTTTAAAGTGCATTTTCAGCATGAAATTTGTTTTTGTGACATGTAATATGATTGGCAAATTTGAAAACATGGTTAGAAATCACATGCTGTTAATTATAGATGTCAAGGCCGCTATTGTTTGTGAACAGCATGCTTGGTGAAAACAAGTAATTTTGCAGGGGGGTACAAACTTTCAGCAATAGCAAAAAATCTACATGTACAAGGTCAAGCACCTATTTCTTTGTGATATTTTGCATGTATAGGGAGTTGCTAGAGTAGTGACAGAGTTTCTGTAGCCCATACTGGTCAGGGACCATCAACCGGACACTTTTTGAACATTTTTCCATACAGATTTCATAATGTCAAACCTACATGTAGGTTCTTCTCCTAACTAACAAACTACTTTGTTTATTTCTGATTGTATTGACATATGTATCTGAGGCTCCTCCAGGAGGGTATCAAAATGACCTCAATTGTCCATGTGTCCGGACAGATAAGTACAGGATGTGATTTAATTCAGATAAAAGCTTGGGGTTTTTTTTTGTTATATTTTTTTAACTGTTGATATACAATATTTCAGCAACAAATGCTGAAGTTTTGGATATTCTATTGTTTACACTGCAAATGATTATAGCTGGTATATGAGGTCAGGCATTGCTTTCTTGACGCCCAAATTTCAACGTCAACATTCTTGAAATAGACATTAAAATATTATCATTTACGAGGTTGAAATAATTTTTTTTACTTAAATATAGAAGAAACATGTTTCTATTGTTAATAAAAAAAGTGATTGACAACCACTGAACAAAGAAAATACTAAATTAAGCATTTTCAGGACCGTCCGGGTTTGGTGGTTGTCCGGTTGTGGTGGTCCCCAACCAGTATATGTGCAGGTATTTTTTGCCAGAGGGACGAAATATGTTGTTTTGGGTCTCGGACCACTGTAGATTTTTGGCTTTTACGGAATGAATTGGAACTGCCTGACTTTGCACATGGGTTGTGTAGTTTGGGATCAGATTTATCAGACATATTGCTTGTAGGACATTGACGACAGAAAATTGAAATTGCCAGCACACAGAACTGCTTGGTCCCTGTGGTTAAATACAATAAAATTTAAATCAGTTTAGGAAAATTTACTTTGATTTGGGAAAAACAGTTGTACCTGGATAGATATTGGTGGTAAATTCTTCGTTTATGACATTCAATTAAATTAAAGTCACAGGGGTTCTGTGATAAAAGTAAACAGTCTTATAATGTTACTTTCGGTTTGTAAAAATTGGGGTAGTGCTTGATTAGTAGAATATGGGATGTACTATTCGCCGATCTCCTATCGTTAATTCCCGGCTTGTCCCGGTCCGGCATTATTTTACTAAACGACATTTACTAGAGACATAACGCGGTTTGGGTGTACATATTTTATTTGATATCGTAACAAACAAGATTTTCCCCCAAAAAAATGAATGTTTTTCACTTAGTTTGGTTACAATAAATAATTAACACAGATCATCTCTAAAATTTATTTATTACTATTTATATAAACATAAACATACAATTCTAAAAATAACAATACTCAGTAGGATATTTTATTTTATTTATGTCAGATGAAAACAAATAATATACGTATACAATAATTGAATAAAAGGTACATTTTGTATTGTATTCATATGACACAATAAACTTTGATACGTTATTCGCGTTTAGTAAATTAAGAGATTCTGAGGAATTATTCGATGAATTATTCAATTGATGGATACTGTAATTTAAATAATAATAAAAATTCCCGTTAAAGTAAAAAAAAATATGGATTCAGAATGATCAATATGCTGTATCTCTGGATACTGCCAACCCCTCTTACGAGTGTTAAAGGCAGGAATTTAATGCACGTCGGATTGTTAGTAAAAGGTGAAAAGAAAAGCTATATAGAAAAGAAAAGTCCAAACAATGACATGCTTGGAAGGTGAGACTGAAAATGTATTCTAGTCATGGTTAAAATGTTAATAGTGAAACAAGATGATAAGAGATAAAATAGTTTAGCAAACCCACCACTGCCTGTTTGAACTGACTCAAGTTGGGCAGGGTGACAATATGTTACTAGGAAGTTTATTCCATAGTATAATGCTATGATCGAGGGAAGAAAGAGTACTAATGGTAGTCAGAGGATACCTGTATTTGGCGTTAATCTATGTGGGGTTTGAACATACGAGGGTTGTCCCAAAAGTCCGTGACAAATTTTATAGCCGGTTCATTTGTAACGCCAATAGAAAAAAATTCACACATATAACCTTTAAGTTTATTATTTAACATTACAACAAATCATTTACAAAAAAATTACCCTAGTTACTTAGAAATTTTCAGTATTAACGACATTGGTTTGAGTTGCCGGCGCACGTCAAATAATTTACATTTTGTTATGAATAGGCTGAAATTAATTACGTATATTTCAAATATCTGATGATGTGTCTGCACAATGTCACGTTGACTTCCTCTGCTGCTATGTTTGAATCATCTCTGGAAATTTTAGTTAAATAACTTAAAAAACGAAAAAGATGCAAATAAATGAAAATATCTCATATAAAATAGGAAAGTTAAAATGGCGACGTTCGAAGAATTTGCGGCGCAGTGAACATGTCACTCAGGTTTCTTGACTATTTCGAGATGACACATGTAACTATTTTCAACAAATATACCAAATATAACAGTTTAGCAACATATTCTGAGCATTTGTGTACAAAAGGCATGAACGGAACCAGAGTTTTGCGCTACAAAAAGCGAAAATAAGGAAAACAGGGATAGGAAGACCGATCTTCGTCGCCTATTTCCTACAGCTAAAAACAGGAGTAACGAGACCGGAAGTTCGCGTATATCAAAAATTAATGTATGCCATCCAAACATTCAACAGACATTAACAACCACATGATTTAAGTCAGAAATTGACGATTTATGGGTACCATTATTGCGTTGAAAGCCATTGAGAGTATTTGAGAAAGGCGCCTTATATAGATTTAACGCCGTCTTTGACGTTGGACGTGCGCCGCGATTCAGTTAGTTGCCATGGTGTTTATGGCATATTTTTGTTGTTTGTTGATATTTATCTATGAAAATTTGTGAAAATGTTTAAATTATATGGGTTTATAACATATTAAAATATCAAATTCGTACCTGTTTTATTTAGCTTTTAATCAATCTTGTCACAGAATATTGGGACAACCCTCGTATGTTGGGAGATTAATTGCAACTCGGTTATGGTATATCTTATAAAACATTATCAGTCTGCAGTCCAATCTGCGATGTTCAAGGGATCGCCAGCCCAGTTCTTCCTGCATGACTGTGACACTAGAGTGAGGGGAGTAATCCCTTTTAACCCATCTTATTGCACGTCTCTGGATCATCTCAACCATATAATATATTGAAAGATGAGAATATGATAATAAACTGACTTTTTCCAGTTAATTTTAGAATTATAATCGGCGGTCAATATGAAATTTGAAATTCATATCACAACAAGATATGCATATGATGCCCCCTATCGGCAGCCAATTAGTCACGTGGTCAGGTTTTGACTTTTGACATAGTGACCAAAAATCGATGGTTATGACTAGTTATAGAAGTCACTAGGTAATTGTGACCGTAAAGGTTGTGTGCAGAAATTTTATAACAAAGTTATCAAAAATCCTACCTTTTATGAAACATGTAGGCCTCCTATATGGCAATAATCCCTTTCGAATTCAGTGCCTGAAGATTTTTCAGGTTAACAGTGATCATGGTGCCGTGGTGAGGGTAAAATAAAAATTAACAATAATGTTCGTTTGTCATTTGTGGGTATGAAATCAACTATAGCAATCAATAAGAGTTTAGTCAGAAATAATAGGACATTGCTTCTAGCTTGCCCTCTAATGTTTCAATTATTCAAGACCTGCCGTATTTGCAGGGGCTAAACTAAACAGCTATAGACGGCTACTATTGAGCGTTTTAAATCACTTTTTTTATTCTTTCATAGAATCCCTTTATTCATTTAATTACATGTAAGATAAAAAAGTAAAATTAAAATTATTCTTAATGACATATCTTACATATAATATTTTATTATATACTTACAAATGAAATATTGAGAAATATTTTAAAATTTTAAAATAAAATGCGTATTTTTATTTTTCGTATTTTCACTGTATAATTTTTTTTCACTGCTGGTGTCTTGCCAGACTTCTTTCTTCTAAATTCCGCCAATACACATAATTAATTAAATAGGAATTCTTCTTATTCATAAGGTTAAAAAAGAGAAAAAGTATAAATTGCAAATTTCTACTAAGTCAAGGTCAATAACTCTGATAAAAATACACAAGCGAAAACCCAGATGCACAATTTCACATCCTGTAAAGTGCGCTGATTCTAGCTTAGAGGTACACGTGACACAACATTTTGGAACGGTTTTTACTAAGTCAGGGTTAATTCTCTACAAATTCTGAAGAAACAAAATACAAGTACACAAAAACACGCTGGTCAACATTTCTGTAAGGTTTCATGACTCTAGGTCAAATACTTTTTGGGTTACGCACGACACAAGTTGAACATTGCAATTTTTTACACAGTCGAGGGCGATGATTCTACAAATACTGAATAAATGCACAAGCAAGTCACCAGGTGCACAACTTCACATGCTGATCAACATTTCTCTGAAGTTTGTTGTCTCTAGTTCAAGCATTTTAGAGCTACACGACCTAGGATGAACGAAAGCGCACAAGGGCAAATCTACTCGAGGGGCATGAAAACCATTCTGAAACTGTACTATGCCGACAGAACCATATATAGTAGAATTGTGGAAGGCGAAGGTTAGGCTATTCTATCGGGAATAACCATGCTAATATGCTAATGCGTGCTATAATTATTTCCAGCCACCCAGGTAGATTATGCTTATTAGGATATTTATTTAGCGCCCGTAGTAATAAAACAAACAATTGTCATATTTCATCATCAAGATTAGTAATTCTACAGCAACTACAACAATATATCATATTTTGGACAAAATCACATGCTTTCTAAAGTTAAATATCCTTTTGTGGGCGGATGAAAATAAGGCGTATCTGGGATCAGGAGTGGACTATATTTAGGCATCACTTGTTATACATATTAATATTTCGAAATATATTGGTTGATGCTAGAGCTAACTAGACATTTTGTATTCGATATAAATGGGCAAAATGAAACAACATGTTAAGCCAGAAAAACAAAACAAAAACAAAATAAGAACCACCGTGTATAAATGTGAAAATAATGCACGATTCGTGCAAAAAGTAAAGCAGTATTGTGCAATAAATGACGGATGCCTGACAGGGTAAGTAAACTAGCCAATATAATTTTTATTTAACAAAACTGGAAAAAAGGAATAGCCACATACGGCTGCTAAAACATTATACTAGTACTTTATCCCTCATCAAGATTATTTTCACAAAATTGCTTTCTTTTCAAGATTATTCGTGAAAATGATGGCTGGACCACCACTTTAGTGTGAATTTGACTTTTTGTCGACGCTTATTAGTACAACAATGCATATTATATCGTATAATTTCGATTTTTGGTAGGCAAGTGACATTTACTAAACTTCTGGTGACATAGAAAGTTGAAAATAAGCTCATAAAATGTGATTCAATCCGTTTTTATAAGGTAACGCCGATGTTCGTGAATAGTGCTTCGCAGTAACGCCAAAAAATGTGACTTTTGGCCGGGTTGCACAGGTGCAAACCCGGGTTATAGTATGGTGAATGTCGGGCGGCGGCCGCGCCGGGGAAACTTTCGTAACAGTTTTCTCAGCAACTACTTATCACAGCGTATACAGCATCAACATGTGGTCCCATACCGTGGGATTTGATTTCAGGTCTGTCACTGATCCACTTCCTGTTTGCCGACTTAATTAAATTTTTGACATTTATGGTCAATGGTAGGAAATTTTCGTAACAGTTTTCTCAGCAACTACTTATCACAGCCTTTTGATATTTTGTATAAAGCTTCAACATAAGGTCCCATACCGTGGGATTCGATTTCAGGTCTGTCGCTCATCCACTTCCTGTTTGCCTACTTAGTTAACTTTTCAACATTAATGGTCAATGGTAGGACATTTTCGTAACAGTTTTCTCAGCAACTACTTATCACAGCCTTTTGATATTTGGTATAAAGCTTCAACATGTGGGCCCATACCGTGGGTTTGATTTCAGGTCTGTCGCCCATCCACTTCCTGTTTACCTACTTAATTAAATTTTCAACATTATGATCAATGGTAGGAAATGTTCAATGGTAGAGCAACTACTTATCACAGCCTTTTGATATTTTGTATACAGCATAAGCACATGGTCCCATTATGTGGGATTCGATTTCTGGTCTGTCGCTCATCCACTTTCTGTTTGCCGACTTAGTTTTTTTCGACATTAATGGACAATGGTAGGAAATTTTCGTCGCAGTTTTCTCAGCTAATACTTACCACAGGCTTTTGATATTTGGTATAAACATGTGGTCCCATACCGTTGGATTTGATTTCAGGTCTGTCGCCCATCCACTTCCTGTTTACCTACTTAGTTAAATTTTCAACATTTATGGTCAATGGCAGGAAATTTTCAATGGTGGGAACAGTTTTCTCAGCAACTACTTATCACAGCCTTTTGATATTTGGTATACAGCATTGACACACTGTGGAATTTCATGTCTGTCGCTCATCCACTTCCTGTTTACTGACTTAGTTAAATTTTCGACATTATAATGGTCAATGGTAAGAAATTTTCGTGACAGTTTTCTCAGCAACTACTTATCACAGCCTCTTGATATTTGGCATACAGCATTGACACGTGGTCCCATACCGTGGGATTCGATTTCAAGTCTGTCGCTATCCACTTCCTAGTTAAATTTTCGACATTAATGGTCATTGCTAGGAAGTTTTCGTAACAGTTTTCTCAGCAACTACTTACCACACAGCAACTACTTCTCACAGCCTCTTGATATTTGGCATACAGCATTGACACGTGCTCGATTTGATTTCATGTCTGTCGCTTATCCACTTCCTGTTTACTGACTTAGTTAAATTTTCGACATTAATGGTCAATGGTAGGAAATTTTCGTAAGAGTTTTCTCAGCAACTACTTATCACAGCCTCTTGATATTTGGTATACAACATTGACACGTAGTCCCATATTCGATTTAAGGTCTGTTGCTCATCCACTTCCTGTTTACTGACTTAGTTAAATTTTCGACATTAATGGTCAGTTGTAAATTGTTTTTCGTAACATCACAGCATCATGATATTTGGTATACAAATGCAACCCGGCCTTTTCTGTCTTTGGCCCATTTTTTTCATATATGGTACTGAATCAAAATCACACTCAAAACGGTGGTCCAGTCATCATTTTCACGAACGATCTTGAAAAGTAGTCACTTTCTTGGAAATAATCTTGATGATGTCTTCGCAGCGGCGAGTCGTATGCGGCTATTCCTTTTTCAGTTTGGAATGTATAGAAAAATATATTGGCCAGTTTACTTACCGCGTTGGAAATCCTGTCAGGTATCCGCCATTTTTTGCACAATTCTGTGTTACTTTTTTGCACGAATCGTGCGTTATTTTCACATTCCGGCGTTACTGGATATATACGGTGAGAACAATATTTTTTCAAGATCACTAAAAAGAAATTCACAATATTATAATAAGTAGTAAGGCAATAGGATGTCAGTTAATGTTAAACCATTTATCTATATTCTCTCCCGTTCGTTCTAGTATGCATACCATACATCTGACACGTACCGAATATGATAATTGAAATTCTACATTATGCATCAGCCATGGAAGAAATTATACAATCACACATCTATCAAGCATGCTATACTATTGTGATATCTAGTATACTGTGGTATGAAGTTATTCATAAGGTTTTACTTACATGTTTCGTGTATTTCTCCTTCAAATGATCATACAGAGTTACACGAATATCTAAATTATCCTATACAGAGAAGTATCGATTGATCCTTGGCAAGATCAATAGAGTTATACGTACTGCCCAATCTGATCTAACGCTTCTCAATCGTGTTCAATTTGCCTAAATATAGAAAGTAAGTTAGGAAATGGCAATAACAAATTTGCATGTCCCCTTATGAATTCAATCCTATGTACATACTAGCTGCTATACCCTTGATTTAATATTGACAGATCAATGGTTCAGCAGAATTAAATTTATAGCTTTATCTACTAATATAGGTTAACTTCAAAGTCCTCTAACAGTTGCTTTGCATATGAAATGATACAGTCTCATATGAAATATTTTCAGCTTTCTTTACTTTCCTTTGGATTTGATTTTCATTTTGATCTGATAGTATTCGTGAGAAAATTGTAGACACCAGCTTTAAAGTGGGCTTATGCATGAATTATTTGTTACAAGATAACTTTTATAGAAAGGGAGTCTTATACATTATTGATTACATTTTTCAATGTATATTGAAAAACACTTAAACCTCTCAATTTGTGAAATGATGTTATAAAACGTCAATACAATTCTTTCTTCAGGTGGTCGCCTGCTCACGCACACCTTTATCTTCGCTTCATCAATCGTGCGATTCCTAGTGCCAGTGTGCGCTAAATTTTAGAAAATTCTATGTTCGTGGTTCTCATTTTTAAAGATTTGGATTATTTTTTATAAACTTATAAACTATTAGATCTATATACAAGATAATGACCAACACATTTTAGTGAAACCAAGATAGAAAATACCTTCCATCAGGGATTCATGGAACAAAGGATAAATTACACTTTATATAACATAGCAAAGTGTTTTTTTAGTTTTAAACACATGCAGCCATCTGTCATATTTAATATGTAAAATGAAACATAAATATCAAGCTCAGCTGCTGTGTTATGCCGGATAAACATGGTCGATATGCAGAAACATGGTCGATATGCAAAAACATGGTCGATATATAGTTTATGCAGCGATTTTCAAGATTATGAGTTGATTTCAAGACTATGTTTATGCTACAACACTCAACGCATTTAACAAACATTGCTTACTTGGGACGTAACTGTGATTTTTTATCTCATAAAAAGGATTAACCAAAAAAAAAAGAGTTATAACATTTTAAAGGGACTCCACTGAGGTTTTTTGACATGATGGGACTGAAAATATTTTTTTCCATATAAATGTACCATTTGATGTATGTTAGACTACTAATCTTTGTGCAAATTTTAGATGATTCGCGCACTTCGTTTTTCCAGAATAATTATTCAAATTGTAAAAAATGACCCAAAATACACCGTTTAAACGTACACTATTCACTCAAATCGGGCTAAGAAAAGCATAAAAATACGATTTTCAATTTATTTCAAAGTATATTTCTTAACTATCTTTGCATATATTTCTGTTTAAAGTGCCCCAGCTAATTTATGTAAGAAATTCAAATGTTATGTTTTTAGGCTTTTAAACCTTTAACAAAATCGATGGTGATTACTTTGATGGTAAAAATGATGATGAGAAGGACGGAAACAGCGACGGCATGGGTAATGGTGTTTTTTTTGTTGTTGTTTTTAGCTTTTATGGACATTGATTTCCTCTTTTACGTCCGTCTGTTCCAAAATCATGCGACATGGAATCTCCAGAGTGACACAATTTATATGTGTATGTTACTGTCTACCTGCTTTATTTTAAATGTTCCAGTTACGACAGAATAGTGAACTTTGATTCAATTAAAATTGTGATAATTTTTTTTAGAATATTTTGTTGCTCGCATAGCTCCTTACCAAAAACACAGTGTCAACAGATTTTACACAAATGTTTATCGTCATGTGAAGTTGTACGCACCAGTTCACAAACGCACGCACACGCACACACACACATACGCACGCACGCACGCGAGCGCGCGCTAGCACACGCACGTACCTGTAAGGATAAGCGGGGCAGCTTTTCTCGGCTTTCCCACTACTGGTAGAAATGTTACAGCAATGACAAGGTCATAACCGCTCTACGGGGATTTAACAGGGCTTGGTCATCAAGAAATACAGCCATGATGACACTGTATCTGTCTTCTGAGTCAACTTGTTATTGACTGATTTAAAAAGATATTATTCTAAAAAAAATCCTTCTGTTGCCCTGGTTACCAGAGATATACACTGATGGAAGTTAATAATCGCTCGTTTGCCAGTAGTTCAAGAGAAATATATTAGCTCACGTTATTGTGCATTGACGTAACATATGAGAAAATATAAGTATTCACACTATAACAATAGCAGTTATTAAGAAACACATTTGCAGATAAGTTGAATAGACCGTGCGAAAGGAAAGGGAACGATGGAATCGGAAATGAATCAGGCGCTGGTAGAGGTATGGGTGAACATTTTACAGATATGTGATTTCTATAAAATAAAGATGTGTATATATATTTCGCTAAATGTGTTGAAATAATCGTATGATGCCGTTTTGTCGGATGATAACCTTTTGTCACAATTACTATTACATTTTTGTGGGGTGGGTTAGGCGCACACATGTTTCTGACTGACTACAACGAAATTAACAGCTGTGAATTTATATATGTTGCATAACGATTTCCTTATAACCAGAATGTCTTTTAGTGATGTATTACCAAAACAAGGAAGAGACTGGGAAGTAGAAAAATCAATAACGTTATATCGTTATGTTTTTAATTCAAATCAAAACATTAATCAGGCATTATACATGGACAATTTTTTTATTATTATAAAAATGATGCTATTAGAAATATCTCTTATTTTTGCAACATGAAAAAATATTTATTCATCACGGTTTATATCCTGATCCGTAAAAAAGTATGGAAAAATGCTTATAGCAGAAGAAATCGTGACAATGTCATATATAACAAATAGACATGGACATAGAAACTTTTGTTTTTCTGTAATTTAAGAGTTAAAGTAATAAGAAGTTACAGTGATGCTAACGAGGGTAAGAGATAACAATGACATACTTTTATATAGAATAAATTATTTGTGCTGTTTTCCCCTGCAATTTACAATATCATGTGTTATGTACTGAATAAACACTTTTTCTTCTATCAATTTAGCGCACTTCATCTCCTTTAGATATGTCAAGACATAATGCGTCACTTGTTGTTTCTTTTTTTGTAAAATTACAACATAAACCTTTTTTGTAGTACACAACTTAACTCCAAGAAGTGTAAAAAACATGTACTTTCATTACCCTATTGTTCATAATCTCACCTTACAATTTGTATGAAAACATTATTCCCATATAACTGCAATGCAGAATAACATACATCTCCCAAGTTAACAGAAAAAAAGATCTAAATTAACCTGGGTATAATCACAGAATAGATATCACAGAAAACATTGGCCGCAATTTAAGAAAAACAACAACAAAAGTTATGTACCCTGAACTCAATAATCAAAATAGTTCAAATCTATTACTGTAAGCCATGCATCTTTAGACGGTCATTTTTGGATTATTAGCCCCTACTAAATGGTCTACTTTGCAGCAATAGTTAGTCCTGTTGGAGTGCCGTTACTTGCCTGCTGTTCAGCCTGACGTTGACGTTTTAATTCCTGCTGCATCAGATAAACTGCTGCACGGCATGGTTTCACTTCCGGTTTTTGATATGTCATGTGGGTAACGGTGTTAAAGTCAAAATCTCCTTCTCTATTAACGGGTTTATCTTCAGGGCGAAAGTCCTTAGTCGGCTGGTACTTTTTAGGTGTGAACGAGGACTGAGCTACGCTTTCTCCTGCGAATTTTTCCTGTGGTGGAATATATGGCCTATTCTCGTGAAAATCACCGTATCTTACTCGTGGAGAAGCACCCCAATTTCTAAAGAATTCTTTTGTGCTTGTGTGACCGTCAAATTTGGCATCAGATTTCTGTACCTTTTGCACTGGAACAACGGCACGTGAAATATAAGCTCGTGACAGATCTATTGGGCGGTAGTCCCTCTGAAATAGATGAAGAAAATAAACATGTACAGTGGAGAAATTAGAATTAGGTAAAGTAGATGCAAATACTAGTAAGACATTTTAAAGCTTTATCACTGCTGCCTGCAGTTTACAAATTTTTGTTTAAAATTTGAAAAAAAAGTAATTCCAAACCTGTTTAGAAGAAATATGTTGGTGTACAAAGTTGTTGCTTAACGGCTAAAAACCTACTTAAAATAGCAGCATAACATTTTGTTCTGCAATATTTTATTCCTTTTACAACATGTGTTCTAAAAATCAAAAACATTAAATTATGTTACAACTCTTACGAGAATTGACCATAGAATTATCAAAAGAACACAATTTTACCGTTTATAAAAATACTTCATTAGATAATTGGATCAGGTGTTTTTGATAAAGTGACATAAAGATGATTATTTAGTATTTACCATGTTGCTTGTTAAATTGTCAACTGTTTCACTAGGTGGTACATATTCATCCTCTAGTTTACATGACTTTGGAACTGGATTCTTTATGACGTCATGGCCCTTGTATATCTTCCTCTGTTCTGTTTCAAAGTGACGGCTAGAAAAAAGTAAAAAGTATACATGTTTATATCACAAAAGTTTCAATCAAAGGTCACAGAAAGAAATATCTCTTCTTAACGAGAAACGTTTCGGTTGTTACTGTTATGCTTTTTTATATATAGACTACTTCTTGATATTGTTTTACAATAAAAAAAATACTTCACTGGAGTATTTAGCGGTAATGCAGAGCGTTCATTTTTCTAATGAACTTACGCATTATCGAACTTGAGGTCTAACGTGTCAGGTGCAGGCTGTGCAGGCGGTGGTGGCTTTGGCTGACCTCCAGTATATCCGGGGAAGTCGTGTCGAAACTGAGTCTCACTCTGGAATTTTCCACGTGGCTTATGTTTAGCAAGATCTGATTGGCGGACAATCGGAGATGGTCTGTGATCTCCCTTAACGTCCTTGTATGTCTCCATATTTGTTGTCATCATATTGTGATCGCCTGTGAATATCAAAAAAGTTTCAGGAAATATTAGAAATAATTTCACCTTTAAAGGTTTAAAATAACGACACACTACATAAGTGAAGAATTATTATGCATTAACGATACTTAAAGGAACTCCAATGAGGTTTTTTGACATGACGGAACTGGATTTTTTTCAAGATTAATGTTCTATTTGATGAAGGTATTTATAAGTAACGTGTGTGCAAAGTTTTAGACCATTGCTCACTCCGTTTTCCCAGAAGAATTATTCCATGTATGAAAAATGATCCAAAATTGAAAAGCGTTGCAACACTTTTCAATCAAAACGGACCAAGAAAAGCTCAAAAATACGATTTTCAATTTATTCATGAGTACATTTCTGTAGTTTTCTGTTTTAAGTGTCCCCGTTGATCTATGCAAGAAATTCAAATTATATATTTTTAGGCTTTTGATACTCAGTGGAGTTCATTTAACACTCTGTTATTTTTATATTACTATTGTTTGAAAACATACCTTCCATTTTGATATGAGCATCAGCTAGTCTAATAATGTCTGGGCGTTTAGCAAACTCTCCTTGGAAAGACTGTTTAGTCTCACTGTCACTTGCCATCTCTTTTGATGGGAACAGTATTGAACCTTGAATACAAACGTGGTAAAATGATTAAAACATTCTGTGGATATTTTGTTAGCCGTTATTTGCACAAACTACTCAAAGTATGTGATACTTAATTATTTAATAATGCGAAATTGTTAAAATTTAAGTTAAAGTAAAGTCATGAAATCATGCAAAATATAGGATCAGTTTATGTGTACTTTTGAGAAATGTGTCAATTTCGTCCGTTGATGTCAACAGTTTCCTCATTTATAACGAAAGTGATATCAAATGACCAAAAACAACAACAACATACGACTTTTCACGTGAAACACAAAGTTTTTTCCTTTTTTTCTTATAAAAATAATCGTTTTTAAAGCTTTTCAAGCTCATACAATTTCCTTAAAATAGTTAAGATATTCCCTAGTTATATTGCATTGACCTACTTTAAAAGTTCTTTTTTTTTTAAATTGTGCAGGTATTTTAAGCATGTACTCATATATATCACTAACAACTTTATCTATTTTTTCCTAATTTTAGATCAGTCCAATCATATAGGAATTGCTGATCAAAGGATCTGCACACGTACAATAGTGCAATCTAAACGTACCGACGAAACTAGGGAGTTCTCCAAACGGTACTTGTTTCTGACCAACCCAGTGCTTGTGTTTTTCTTTGTAAGTAGTTCGTCCATCAAACTTAGCATCAGTTCGGCAAAAGTTCTCTCGTCGTGGCTCGGCAAATCGCCGGATGTCCGGTAGAGCTTTCTTCTGCGTAAACTCCTGTGAATAGAACGTGTTCTTTTCTAAGGGCACAGACGGTGCTTCATAGACGTCTTTCTGCAAGAAAAATAATATGAATAAGTCTCAAAGCGAGCTCTTTGAAATAATTTATAAACATTACACTATATATAAGTATATAAGTATCTATTAAACCCACCGGCGACTGCACAATATGTGTACTGCACTTCACAATTGCATTTCTGATTTTATGAATAAGTAACGTACAAAGGTAATTATTTTTACTGTTATTTGTATATTTTAAATAATTAAACTCATTCAAATTTTAAGTAAATAACATTATTTTTGGATCGTACTTTATCCAACGATCGTGAACGCGCTAAAGGCGAAACTTCGTAAAAGGATTGAAGGTAATTGGCAGGATGTTCCGAATGTAATTTTCGGATGCTCTGATCCAGAGGGTAAACAACAAAAGACACCACCACCGTACTTCAGGCCAAACTTTCCTAACCCATCGTTATAGTTATGTTCACTGTGCTTGCAGGCCCTGCTTTTGTTGTTGATGAGTTATTTAATTATTAAATAACCCCTACATTTTAATTATAATCCTAGAGATAGTAACGATAAATAAGTACCTTAATACTTATAAGTATTACTAAAAAAAGTATTAATAATTTACCGGTGCATAGTCTGGGGGTCTGCCCGTCTCTCTAGGAGCTCTAAAGTCTTCCCTCTGGTTTGTGGAGAAGACCATAGCGGGAGGATTTGGATCTCTCGGTGACGGCGGGGGCCTCTTGCTAGACCTTGGACGGATGTTATTTGGCTGTTTAAAAGTGTCCCTATAATCAGATACATCCGGGTAAGATCGAAGTCGTCGGGGCTTTGGAATAGCCTCCTTCCTTCGCTTATGACGCCTGCAAATAGTTCAAACAGAAAACAAATTCAAATATTTGATTTAAAAGAATGAGATTCTAAAGGTACATATTTCTTAAATACTACTTGTATGTTTTTAAGGTTTACTTTTGTTTGACAATATAGTTTCCTATAATCACAACACGTTGAAGTTTGACATAAACTTCCAACAATTAAAACCCTTGAAAGACAAATTTTGTGTCAGTACTGCCATTGTTCTACGTATCCATATAGTTCATGTACGCATTGTATAAAGGTACTTTCAGTACAGTTATACATGTAAATAATCTCTTGACCAGAGTGACCTTATTTTGGTTTATATATGGCTTATCCCGATCAATGTAGAGATGGTGATTTAAGGTATCTGACCAAACATATCAAATTATACGGTATATACTTGATAAACAAAAGTGAATGTCTTTGGTCCTAATATACGCAAGAAATCAATCCCAGTTAAACTCCTCTGCAACGCAAGTATCACATACCCAGATGAAAATCACATGATTTACTTTATCTAGGTAGAAACTTATTTGAATACTTGTAAAATCAAAGCACAGATGTTTGGGTCTCAGAATGTCAAAAAGGTGAAGGTTGTGAGATTATAAACCAATTTGTGTTTGTGTAGTGCCAGCAATGCTGTGTCCAGTGTTATAACTGTAGTAAATTGGCTATAAGACTAATTGCAACACTGATATTCAATTCAATGTTTATTTGGCTTCAAGAAAAAACAACAAAATGAGTTGCCTTAAGTGGGATTTGAACCCCTGACATCTGGCTTCCTAAACGAGCGTGTAGGACCACGGAGAAGTTATAAGGAAATAATCTGAAGCAAACCACAGTATTCTAAATTAGGGTTTGTAATCCTCATTAATTTCGAATTAAATTGAAATTGATTATCGATCGTCGACTGCCTAAAGTCGTCCCTGTCCTAGAGTCAACATCCTTACTTTATTTTTCAGAAAGTCTAAATAACAAATGTTCATTTAGGCGATCACAATAATCCGAAGCTTTACGGAAATAGCCGAGCAATTTTCATTGATTAAAATGATATTCACCCGAGAAGGTTTGAAAATTAATGCGCCTATCATTTGACAACCTTTTACGCAGTGATCTCCCCTTAACTTTCGGCGTAAGTGTACTCATAAAGGGAAGTAACCGCTTCGAGGAGTTCGTGACGGACTACTTGCGGATTTTGCAATTAAGCATATCAGGGTCTGAGATTTCGCTACCATTATTTGTTTGGTCTCACGACTCAAACAAATAACAAACAACAATTTTATAAACGTAAGAAAAAAATAAACTTATGGTGATTTAATTGAAATTTATAAGTCAATTAACGGAAATGCCATGAAAATGTCAATACATAAAACATTTAACAGATCGTGTCTTTATTAAAGTGTTAAGGGAGCTGTCAATAAATCTTGCAACAATCAATCCTCGGATTAACATTCACCAGCAGTGAAATCAATAAATGTCTGATGACGACCATATTTATAACTCTACTTTTCCTATTTAGCAAATTTGAATGATACCCCGGTGGTAACATTGGATGATATAAATGAATGGCGCATGAGCATGTTTCTATCATGAAAAAGTACTTATATTAATCTTTATCTCACACCTTATAAAATGTAACAAATGAACTTACATCGTTTGCACCATGTAATCTTCAAATATAAATTATTATCGGATTAAATCTTTGTTAATTTTGAGTGTTTTTTTTATATCTAATGTGTTTCCTCCTTATAAATGCTGGTGTAAAGTAAGATTTCGTACAATACTTTATTCTATTGGACTCATTCACAGCTGCAAAATCTATTGAACTCGGCTGGCGCCTCTCCCAATATTCCATAATTCAGTTTTCTACTCCACAAGGTAAAGTAACCTCATAATATAAACTTATAAGTTATAAAAGATATAAATATAATAAAGAGATGAAGTAATACACAGGTAGAGGCCTACATAGTCATACCTCCTGTGGCCAAAACTATGTATAGATTATACAATATAAGTTCATATGTTTCGTATTTTACAGAACACTTCACAGAACTGCAGTCATATGAACGAGAAGTATTATAAAAAATCTTTAAACCATTTTGGGCTGTTTTAATTCAACATTCTGAATTTACTGTGACTCTACCTTTTATTTCAAATATTTTCATTTAACAATATCATTGTATTATTTGTCTTTTAAAACCACCCCTCTGTGCTACAGGACTAATTTGTATCAGCAAAATAAGATATAACATTAGGCGGTTGTCCAATATTCGAGGCTATATTTAGAATATTTGATTTATTTGTCCATAAATTTTAAAATTGTATGGACCTGAAAAGATATTTAAGACCAATCGGATTATATCCCGAGCCAAGGAATAAATTGTATAATAAAATGCAAGATTAATACGAATATTTGTTGACTTTACTAATCTAATCGGCAAAATGCAGCGAAATACCTTACAGCGTATTATGATAAATGATAAATTATTTTAAAAACTGGCATAGAAAGATCAAACAAACCAAACGACGTCTACTTTAATTCTATCTTTCTCATAGTTAATATGCAGTTTATCAAGTTAACTAGTTTGTTCAATTGCTATCTATTCAAACAATTCTTTGAATGCGCTCCATTTTTAAATCAAAAACCTCTTCTGTAAATAGCCATTACATTATATTTGTAGCCATTCATATGGTCAATGTTTAATTTTTCGGCCGAAGGCCGTCTGATTTCACCTTGACTTCCGCTAAAATTAACAGCAGGCAGAATTTTCATTGGTCATTTTAACACTAATAGCCTGTTCGATTGATACTTTAGAAGAGCTCCCGTTAAAGGTACGGGTCTGTTCGATTGCGCGATGGCAAAAAGTGTTGGAAAAATATATAAGCCAGAATGAATATAAAAAAAACAATAATGATATTTTCTAGATGTTTCTAACAGCTTTTCAATAAATATATCAAAATAAATATGACAGATCGCCTTTTTGATACTTTTGCGTTCGATTGGGTTTCTCTTCTAAGCTGTTCGGGCATAAGATGATTGAAACGAACTTTCGAATAATTTACATGGAATTAGTGTACAGTATCTACTAAATCTTTGTTTTATTATAAATTCCTATTCAAATCAAATTCTATTTTGATTAAAATCAAATAATGTAAGTAATATTGTTTAAATCTAAGATGACAATTAATGGGGAAAAACATTGCGGGTAAAAATGAACTGAAAAAAAACTATTGAGGACGAATAAAATGTTCTGTTTGCGGTAGCATATCCTATGCAAGTTAACAAGTTTGACTTCGGCCGAGTATCTTTTTAAAGATACTCCTTGTTTTTCGTGCAATTATATACATTTCTAAATTCGTTGAAGTATTTAATACATTTTATTTCTATTGTGAACGATCCTTTTATGACGTCTTAAGATCCTCGCTCAATGATTTATTTATTTAGCCTATTGAAGACATCAATTGACTCCTTGGCATACATCAGGCATATTGAACTATCTGAAAGAGGTGTAATTATCATGAATGTATAATACATTCAACGGAAGGAATAATTTCCAGGTTTAATATGTATATATTTATCAATGGATGTTTGATATTAAACGTTGATTCAAATAGAAAAGAAAAACAAACAATCACGAAAAATTAAAACTTGTAAGATCACCGGGAAAGCACGCTTCTAACCGCCTTATTTAAAATAAAAAAGAATCGTTTTGTAAAATCGTTGCATAACAAAATGTGTAAATCCTAAATTACACTGTCTTCTGTGATGTTATCATAACTTTACGTCAATGCCCCAGAGTGGTTTATGTACAGTATTGGAAGAAGAAGAAGAATGTAATCTATGAAAATATAAATAGTAAAATGCGAGATTATCAAGTTATTCACCAAGCATTCTGTCACATTAGTACAGCGGACTCTTACAATAATTTGCTTAACTTATGAAAAACTTCTCCATTCATTTTTTTCTATTACATTTGTATATTAAAAACACTCGGTGAATGATTTTTTTTATCTCTTTTAGACTGATGTTGGAGTGGACTAATAAAACATGAATTGCTATATGGGCTACTTTACTGTATTTCCTTAGGCTCCACGCTTCGGTATGCACATAAATAAAATCATCCTTTATACTAGTATTGAATTCCATTTGTGAATGGTTTGAAATGAATTTTAGAAGACTTCTTTTGTTATCTTTTAAATCAGGTAAATGGATTTTGTTGTCCGTATAATCCATAGCTATCCAGGAGTTAACTTTAACGTATAATGTAATAAAGGCGAATTTAGACATAACGTGCAACGTTATCCATCATGGATTAATATTTTATTTGTTTAACAAAGTAGTTTGACACTTAAAACCTTTCGAGATCGATTTGTAAGTCTGTAAGTCTAAAATTAATAGTGTTTACTACCTTGTTTTTGTATAAATGGAGATACATGTATATAATATTTGCGTACTTAAAATACAATCCTTGGTTTTTATCATTTTAGCAAAATGAAAAAATAGGCCATTTACAGTATTATTTATATTCGTTTAAATAGCAAGATTTGTTTTAGTTATTAAAGTATATAAACTGATAAATAAAAACGAGGTCTGCAAGATAAGTATTGTTGTCTCGAAATTATATAGACTACACTCCAATGTTTAAAACGTTGTAACAAACATGACTAAAATTGTCAAAACTAGTCACTCTTTTTTATAATATTAACTCATATGAAATCAGAAATCAGAATAAGAAAATATTGCCAACATAACCAACAATTTATAAAGAACATTTACGAGACATTCTGAAAAGCTTGCACAATAACTTATTGATTAAATATCAATATACTTCAGCACCATTTAATAAATTAATTTTCATGATTCAACTCGTTATGATATTTTTTATTAAATCTTTGAATACATATTATATTTACGTTTAACACTTGCGATCAAACGCTTAGATATAGCAATATCTTAAAAGAATGAATTGTTAACACGATATGGGCAAAGAATTATCACAAATGAATTAGGCACTAAAGTATGACAATACATACATATTGTGCAAAGATTTTCGTCTTGATAACCGTACAATATCAACTAATCTTTACAAAAGGGTTTACGTCGCGCTATATATTTGTGTTTTTAAAAATGTCGATTAAACAATTTCAAAACAATGTTGTACAAAGTTCCGAATATCTACGCTACAGAAACAAAGGTAATGGTATTTGCGTTGACGAATAAGCATCGATTTTATTTTTGTAGCTAGGAAGTTATGTTATTTCTAATGAAAATAATATATACAAAATAAAAGTAACAGCATACGAAACTACAAAACACACATAAAGATGTTAATAATATATAATTTATTGGCTTATTGATAATCATATATTATATTTTAAATTAAAAATGCATAAGAAATATTTTGTTAACCATTACTTAATATCTAGTCTGCAAACGTTTATTTTGTTTTCATTTTGTTTGTTTATTTGGGTTTTTTAAATACCGCTTCAGCTACAGCTGATCATCAAATAAAGACAACCGTTTCATCAGATCATACTATGAATTTGATCGTATAGAAAAGTTCAGAAAAAGTGTTGAGAATGTTAATACTAATTTTCAAATCATTAAATACTGACTGATACATATAATGTTAATATAAGAAGCTGACTGATACATATAATGTTAATATAAGAACATATAATGAATGCAATGTTAATATGATAACATATAATATAACCGGGTGGTATTAAGGAAATGGGTAGAACAAAAAGACGATGATTAAACGGGTTCATGGAGCCTCACCTTCCTTGCTGAGCAAAACATCTTGGATTTCTGAAGAGTTAATGATATCATAAGATAAAATGCAAATTAATGAAGCATAAAGACAATAAATATATATCCATTTACTTCCATGGAGATGACAGAAATTTCGTGAGATTGAAAAAGGTGAGTTTATAGTTAGAATGTCATTTAAAATTACAATTAGACAATATATCAGTACAATTACATCAAATTTCGACTTTAACAAAGTTTTAGATTAAGCAAGTTTTTAAAATGAACTGAAACAAGATTTTAAGAGCCATTGTAAATGTTTAACTTGCGAGCCGGTTTCAATATAATTGTTTTGACATATTTGTACAATTTTCGATAAGAAATCTATACACATTTTAAATTAATGGCAGTTATAACCGAATTCAATAGTGTTTGTGTCGTTCAAGTTAATATATATCTACCATGATTTAAGTAACTATCTCACAAATTCCACCTTAAGTAGTTAAAAATAATATTAAATAATATTTACCCGCAGTCACATAACTCGCTGATAGATATATTGTCTGGGAACTTCTCCGACAAAATCGCCGCTTGTCTACTGGGGGATGCCATGACTTAAATATTATTATTCCGTGTCGGCTTTAACCCCATTAATTGAAATATAAACTGTTTTAAGTTCACAGCATAATCCAAAATGTTTAAAGTGTAAATAACCTAAAATTGAAACCCGACGTTGGGTTTCAATTGACGTGTGTACTATTTCCGATATTTAATGATAGTATATCACAATGAAGAACAAACAAATATCGTAAGCGTGAAAGCTTGCACCCGTTGAGTAACCAAGGCTTAACCGGTAGTTAACAGCCTGGCGACGCTTGTAGCAACGAGCTGTTCCGTTATTCTCCCGCGGTGTTATACGCCGATACATGAATTATGACATTAAAAAAAGAATACAGGAATAATCAATAGCAAGAAATGTGGTAAAATAGCTTAAAATAATCGATTTATTATTTAGAATATCATATTCATATATTTAAGTTATGAGGAAGAGATACAGAAAACATCTGTTTATGACATATTTGCTCTTCACTTCATTTTGAAGTTTAAATCCTTTGTTAGATTATTTATATAATCATATGAACCTGATAACATTCTCAATTATTACGATAAATACACGATTACACAAAGATACATTATACATGAACGCATTTCATTATATGTCCGTGCTATTTTGTTTTGTCCGCAAATGCTGGCATTATAAACATTTGTGTGTTTTTAATTTAACAATTTTCAACCACTTACATGTATGTTTCGTTCAGTACAATTTTAGACTATACCCAATGCCATTTCTCATACTATATTAGCTTAATAAAAATATAATTACACAATGTGATCTTCATTTTCCCGAAATGAATATTGAGAAAGAAATTTAAGTTATAGATCTTCAGTGACATTAGTCTTGCTCTTGATACAGGCAATCTGCTAAATGGCATAGCATTGCGAGATGATATATCTGCCGCTATGTTGGTGCAAAAAAAACCATCACATTGACCCAGAACGTGCCGAGATGTAATGCAAAACCATGGCTCATATCCACCGCCATCATCACAATACTCCCCTGGGGTTCGTGAAGTTTTTTACAGCTGACTAGTACAGTTACGAGCATTAATTATCCAAGTGACATTGGTCTTATACAAATGTAACACAACACTAGATTTTGTTGACATACATTTATTTTATTCTTTATCATAGTCTCATCTATACACATATATACATATAAAACATTGAAATTGTATATAGCCATTCTCGAAGACTTGTTATAGCTAATACTAAGAGGGATAACTCCACAGTCCATATTATAGAAATGTATAATATGTACTGTAGATTTACCACCCTTATTTACGTATTCACGTTCTCAACATTTACATCATATAACTCAATTGCAAAACGATTACATAATTTCACTTTGTCATTATTTAAAAAGTCATTTGAAACATTTCATTGCAAATTTTTATGTAAATGAAATAGTGAAAGTATAGAAACGCTATCGTTGCAATATTGTTTCACTTCATCACCACCAAATCAATCAGCGGTCGAACAATCTCGAGAAAGACCCAATAACTAACCCGGGAGGATATCCGGATCAACCACATTGAAAACAATGATTTCACTATATTGGTGTATTACTGAGTAAACCTCACTATGTGTTTTTATCACAGATACCCGTATTTCCGCTGGTAAACATCCGCTAATGTTACTTTGTTAAATATTGACTAGGCCTATGAAAACAAGACATGGGGATATCATAGTTTATTTGACATAAGGTATGCACATTTCTTTGTAAAAACCAGTTTCTGCCTTATTCAAACCCTAATATGTTTATCTCGACATTTCGTTATCTCGATATTTTTTGGACGGTCCCGATGACTTCGAGATAACGAGAGTCTGTACTTTGTGATAAAAGCACTATCACTCAATATAAATCAAAGCACAGAAGGCGCTGAATTTGTTTGGGTCTCAGAATGTCAGAAAGGTGAAGGTTGTGAGATTATTAACCAATTTGTTTTTGTATAGTGCCACCAATGCTTTCCAGCGTTTTAATTGTAGTAAATTGGCTATAAGACTAATTGCAACACTGGTATTCAATTCAATGTTTATTTGACTAAAACAATTTGGAAAAAAAATGAGTTGCCTTAACTGGGATTTGACTCCAGAGCTCTCGCTTCCTAAGCGAGCGCGCTAACCCCTCGGCCACGGTGAAGTTGTATGTTTACGGCCTGAAGAAATCCATATCATTCTAAATAAGAGTTTGTAACCCTTATTATTTCGACTTAAACACAGATGTAAATAATCATGGAGCTTACTATAAGCTAGCCTAGGTTCCAGTCTGTCGATTTTTTGTTATGTTTCTGTTTGGCAAATCGACATTGATACTATCAAAACAACGAACGAATACGGAATATTTTAGCGCATATGTTATGAATAAAAAAATTGTTATAAATAAGCAAAAACTATCAACGCCTGAATATCAGGTTAACTATAAGCATGTATATCTATAAAGAATAAAACAATACAAGAAAAGCATTGATGCAAAGCATCAAAGGGCGTCCAAGCAAGAAATGCAGCAGGTGAAGATGAACTAGTAGACATATGATGACAAGATATTCTTATAATCTTTTCAATAGTTAATTGGTTTTTACCAGAATTGTATATTACTTATGAATGAACGGACGAAGGACATTGTTCGTTATGAAATTTGATTGGCATGCTAGAGATTAGAATATAACTTGTTATTTCCTTATGATCGTTATTATTAATGGCAACGGATATTTACACATGCATACAATCATTTATAATCCATATGTGTAACGCATGATCAACACCACACTTGTAATTGTCCCTTATTATGTTATCGCTATTAGCGAAGAACCCCTCTTAAGGTATCTGTTCACACTTAGTAAAAATATGACACTGGTAATAATCAATAGTAATAAGATTGATGTGTCCCGTGAATGACCAGAGCGAAAGAAAATTATAAAACAGTGTTTTTCTCAATAAAAGTGATATTTCTATAAGGAAAATTATTTGTTTTGATTCGTACTATAGTTATCGTTTACACTAATTTAACTTGGATTTATATGCATATCTAGCAATTTTGTCGAACTTCTAACACCATTTGTTAGCTAGTTAACAATATCATTCAACCGGGACGTTTTAGTACCATGACATAGTTAATCAACTCGTAATTTAAGAACAGAACAGTACAGAAGTTTATTCAACAAATTGACTTGAACACATAAGTTCATCGTCATTCACATATACAAGTAAAAGTACATAGCGAGAGTGAATATAATATTATCAATTATTTACTTTACATATCATATGTACATGTATACAAATGAAGTACCAAAACCAGAGAATATCAGCATACATATTTAGCTGTATAATCATTCACTTTAACTTATTTTTATAAGTTAAGGTTATCCTGCCTTTGCTTAAAAGCTTTAATACAGAAAAGTGCAAGTCTTTTTAATTTTACAGAGCTACCACATTTTAGAAGTTCTATAAATTTTGCCATACTTGGGCGCGTATAATAATATTTAGGAATATACTGTATTCTTAATAATCTATATACAGGACATATCATAACAAAATGGTATTCATAATCTATATTATTTATTACACATAAGTTACATTTCCTTTCAGCTCTTTCGACATGGCTATATTTAATTGGTGTGATGATAAAAGTAACCTAGCAATAATATTTCTATGTTTTACACAAATAAGGTGATAATTAAAAACAGTTAAATTACTTCTTTATACAGGGATAGTGATGATCTATTATCAACATCCTGACTCCATTCAATTGTTGTGAAAATACAGATATACTGCTTAACGTAGACGTCATCAGCCGAGTTCCCATCTGTCACTGGATGTTTCGCCCCTTATCTCGGAACATCCTCTAGATGGTGGGGCAGGTAGTGTTGATCAGGTACTACCTCGTCTACGATGGCTGCCAGGTTGGTTCATTGCGTCTTAGCCAGAGCCAACTGGACGCTCTCTCTGCAGCTTTGCCAAGAGCATGTGCTGCGGTATTCCGGGCTCCTCCTTTAATGCCCACTGCTCCCAGCATTTTCCAAACTGACTGTGATGGAAAGCCTCTGCAACCAACTTCTACTGGGAAGACCCATGTCTTCCATCCTCTTTCTTTACATGTGTCTGCCAAGTCTGGGTATTTCCCCTTCTTGATCTCATGTGACTCTTCTACTCTCTCTTCCCAAGGAACAGTGAGTTCTACCATCACCATCAACTTCGGAGACCTTGACCACATTACTATATCTGGCCGAAGGGATGTGTGAGTCACTTCCTCTGGGAATTTTAACTTCTTCCCAAGGTCTACCAGCATTTCCCAGTTCTTTGAATCATGTAAAATGCCAGTACCTGTTGATTTTGCAGACTTCTTCTCCCCCTCTTTAACAAAGTTGATAAAGTGTGGTCCAGTCTTTTTCAACGGTCTATCTTTCTTTCTCTCTTTCTCCAGGATGTCCGCCATTTCACGAAGAACTTGGTCGTGGCGCCATCTGTATCGTCCCTGGGACAGTGCAGTATTACATGATGACATGATATGGCGTAATGATCCTACATTTCCGCAAAGTGGACAGCTGGGATCTTCTGACAACTTCCACAGTTTAAGATTTGTTGGGGAGGGTAGTAGGTCGTAAACAGATCTAAGGAGGAAACTCAATTGAAGTGGCTCATAACTCCACAGCTCCTGCCAGGTTAACTGCCTCTCTGGCAAGTTCCACTTCATCCAGCTTCCCTGAGAACCAAGTTGGACTGATCTTGATGACCGTGTTTCATCTTCTGCTCTCCTTAGTTCTGTCTGCACCATTGATCTTCTCTCCACTTTATCAGAATCTCTCCATCTCTGTTTGAACCTGATACCTAGTCCTTCTCTGCCCTTGTTTGTTGTTCCTACAATATCCTGGAGATTTAAACTACTTTCAGCTTGGTCTATTGCCTGCTTCACTGACCATTTCCTCCCAGTTCTTACTTCAATTCCTGCTCCACTGATCTTCTCATCTGACGAGTCCCTAAGTGTAAGCAGCAGACGTGCCTTAGCAACTTTGTATTCTTCGACCAGTGAGTTGAATGGCATCTGTAGTTTTGATGACCGGCTATATAAACCTAAACTGGTGAATGATGGAGGGAAGCCTAGCCATCTCCTTAGATGCTTGCTAACTGACTGCTCCAGCTTCTCGACCAAACTGATAGGATTTCATTGACCATCAATGGCCAGATAAGTCTAGCTAAAAGACCGTGCTGGAAGATCCATGCTTTGTACTTTCCAGGGAGTTCTGACTTGTCTATTCTCTTTAGCCCTTCTTCGACTTGCTGTTTTAGTCTTCCTTGGCTTTTGGTGTCCTTGAGTGTAGAATCAAACCACTTTCCCAAACACTTTACTGGGTTGTTGACTAACGAAGGAATCTCTTCTTTCTGTATAGTTAGTTTGAATCTGTCTGTTACCTTCCCCTTCCTCACTACCAAACACCTTGACTTTCTTGGCTTAAATAACATCCTTGCCCATGACACTGTTTCATCAAGTGCGTGCAGAATCCATCTCGCCTGGATGTGGGTTTCTGTGGTGATAGTCATGTCATCCATGAATCCCCTATTGGATGGGAGACGAATGCCGGCATTTGTCTGTGGACCTCTTGATTCCCTCTCTGCTGCTCGGATGATCATGTTCATACCCATAACGAACAATATGACAGAGATGGTGCATCCTGTGACAATGCCTTTCTCCAGTGGAACCCAATCTGTGGTAAATCTACTGCATGAGAACCTCAAATGGATGTTATTGAAGTAGCTTGTGACCAAATTTCTTGCTTGTTCTGGAACATGGTAGTGCTGTAGTGCCTCAAGAATAAGTTGGTGGGGTATAGAGCCATAAGCATTTGCAAGGTCAAGCCATACTACTGTAAGGTCTTTTTGGTTGATTCTTGCCTCGTGTAGCAGCTGTGTGAGCGCACTAGTGTGCTCGACGCAGCCAGAGAATCCTGGGATTCCACCTTTCTGTACAGACGTGTCGATATACTTATTTTCTATCATGTAAGTTGTCATTCTCTTGGCTAGGATGGAGAAGAAAATCTTTCCTTCCACACTCAACAATGATATGGTTCGGAACTGTGTTATATTCTTTGAGTTCTTCTCCTTTGGGACAAGACAGCCCTCTGCTGTCTGCCAGCAATTTGGAATGCTTCCTTTCCTCCATACCACCCGTAAAAGTGACCATAGTGTTCTTAAAAGCTTTGGGCATTTCTTATACACCTTGTATGGGATGCCACTAGGGCCTGGGGCAGAGCAAGAGCGTGCTTTCTTGACCACATCGTTTATTTCTTTCCATGTGGGCTCCTTCATGTTTAGCGGAATGGCAGGCTCGTCTACTGGTTGGATTCTTCCGCATTCTCCCAATGATTCGCTTCGGTGTGGGTCAGAATGGGTTTCCTTAAGATACTCTTCCACCTCATTTCGACTACTCTCTAGCTTACCACATTTCTCCTCGCCCAATAGTTCTTTCGTAAATTTGTATGGGTTTGATATGAAAGCTGTTCTTTTCTTTGTCTTTTCCCTCCTTTTTCGTCTAAGTCTTTCAGCATTGGTCAGCGACTTGAGTCTTGATCGTATCTGCTCTCTGAGTTGCTTAATCCCTTCCTTCTCAACCATACTTGATTGCTTGTACTGCTTCCTGAGAGACCGCAGTTCTAGTCGGATCTTCTTTATTTCACACAGTCGTCTGTTAGGGACTGGAGGCGGTTGGGGGAGATTGGTTTTATTTTCTAAGCCAAATCTTTCCTTCCCAAGTGTGTATATTAGTGAAGTAAGTGCCTCCAATTTCCTTCCCACTGCTCCGATGAGTGTTGACTGTAGAACTAAGTATAAGTCTTCGTCAAACAATGCCCAGCCTTTGTCATTCATCTTTGGCCAAGCAATCTTCTGTTTCCTCTCACTATAAGTTGGCTTACTTTCATTGACAAGGTCGTGTGTCACCCTGGTACTTCCTGCAAGTGGTGATGTTCGCCATGACTCTGGTAAGGTAAGTAGATCTTCGGTACTATTTTCTGTGGCTGAGACTCTCTCACTGGATTGGGTTAAACTTGGCCCAAATATAGGCGAGTCCTTCCTTGTATTATTCAGCCTGAATATTGGTGAGTCCTCTTCTTCATCTCGTACATCATTTTCTTGCTCCTCAGGAACAATAACATGTATATTTTCCTGCATACTCAAGAGGTCATCTATGGACTGTGTTACCTCCCCCGTCAACCTGCTACCAGCCATCGAAAAAACAGGAGCTAGGAGACTTCTAGTACTGTGGTTGGAAACCTGACCAGATATCTCCCCCGTCTCACCAGGTAAACCTGTGCGTTGCTGATGTTTTCGCTGTGACTGACAACCGCTCTTCGTCTGATGGATCTTCAGTCCTCGATGATTCTTACAAATCTTTCCACATTGACACACCACTGATGTGGTTTCTCCAGTCAAAGTCCGTTGTACGTTTCTGTTCGTTGCCATAGTATCCGTCCTGTTGGGCCTTTCATCCTCCCCCCCTCTCGGATGGCCCTGGGGGTATTTACTCTTTTGTTCTGTTGTAGCGTACTGTATGGTTGCCTCCTCGCAGAGACTGCATAACGGGGTGCCGACCCATTATACACCGGTTTCTAGTCTTTCCTAGATGTCGTCTGTCTCTCCAGCGTCATCATTCTTTCCTGGTTGTCATCCAGCCTTTCCTGGAAGTCACTGGTAAACCAGCATCAATGATGTGAAAATACAGATATACTGCTTAACGTAGACGTCATCAGCCGAGTACCCATCTGTCACTGGATGTTTCGCCCCTTATCTCGGAACATTCTCAAGATGGTGGGGCAGGTAGTGTTGATCAGGTACTACCTCGTCTACGATGGCTGCCAGGTTGGTTCATTGCGTCTTAGCCAGAGCCAACTGGACGCTCTCTCTGCAGCTTTGCCAAGAGCATGTGCTGCGGTATTCCGGGCTCCTCCTTTAATGCCCACTGCTCCCAGCATTTTCCAAACTGACTGTGATGGAAAGCCTCTGCAAATATGTCTAAAAGCCGTCATCTTAAAATTGGAATAAAAACTTTAATATCAACCGATTATGGGAATATTAAACCAGACATCATTAAAACCAGCACTTTGAAGTACAGAACAAACATTCGATGCCCAATTTTAACACCATTATTAGTCCCCTACCGGTTTACCGGAGGGGACTTTAGGTTTACCCTCCGTCCGTCTGTTTGTCTGTCAGTCCGTCCACAAAACTGGATCCCGCGATAACTTGAAAAGTACTGAAAATATTTTTATGAAACTTGATATATGGGTAGATGGCAGTATGGAGATTATGCACGTCTTTTTCTTTTCTTCCTATGTTAAAAATTCTGGTTCCTATGGCAACAAATAGAGTGAAAATATGGCAAATTTTACACATAAACTGGATCCAGTGTTTACGCAAAAAGTACTGAAAACATTTTTATGAAACTTGTAATATGGGTAGATGGCAGTCTGGAGATTATGAACGTCTTTTTCTTTTCTTCCTATGTTGAAAATTCTGGTTGCTATGGCAACAAATAGACTGAAAATATGGCAAATTTTACACATAAACTGGATCCAGTGTTAACGCAAAAAGTAATAGAAATATTTTTATGAAACTTGTAATATGGGTAGATGGCAGTCTGGAGATTATGCAGGTCTTTTTCTTTTCTTCCTATATTGAAAATTCCGGTTGCTATGGCAACACATAGACTGAAAATATGGCAAATTTTACCCATAAACTGAATCCAGTGATAACTCAAACAGTACTGGAAATATTTTTATGAAACTTGACATATGGGTAGATGGCAGTCTGGATATTATGCATGTCTTATCTTTTCTTCCTATTTTGAAAAAATATTGGTTGCCTTGGCAACAAATAGGCTTAAAACATGGCAAATATAACAATATTTGTGATTAGTCAAAAAGAGCTGAATTTTTTTTATGAACTTGCATCTTTAATTCAAGAGTTATTTCCTCTTTAAGAATTTTGCTTTTAAAAAAATTATATTTTGGTAACAGGGATGTTTCAAATATTAACTTTAGAGTGTCCTTCAGTCCGTCTGTCTGTCTGTTCATAAAAACTGTTTCCTGTGATCACTTTTAAAGAACTTTTCCAACAAATTTACTTAAAATAGAGAAAAATTGAAACCTTAGTGACTGGCAAATGGCCCTTCAGAATGTTGATGGGGTTCTAACCGGTAGGGGACTTATGGATTGCTTGCAATACTATGATAATTGCTTGTTTCTTTAGGTACATGTTGACATTTTTACGATTAAAATCCATTTTAGAAATTTTTTATGAACCCTTTCAAGATTTTCAGCTTTAAGTAATCCCCAAACTGCACATGAATAGTTAAGTATAGAGGCAACAAATGAATTAAATAGTGCAAGCATAAGTCTAACAGGTACTTTTAATTGCTTTGTCATGGATAATAATGAGCTCGTTGCCCTGAGACCTTTTCCGGCCAACGTTTTTGTTGCATTCATGTATGAACCGCCACTTGATGAAACAATTCCAAAATAGTAACTATTTACAATTGCTACATTCTAACCACCGTATGTAGAATTTTTCTACCGCCCTTTTTAACAAGGGCCACCGCCGGGTGGGGGCAACGCTCGACTTTTTCTAAAGGCAAACAAAGAAATGTTTGAACAAATCTTAACGTTTCCTTTCTATAAATTTAATCGGTCTGAAGACAATCCATTTAAAAATAACAAAGTTACAGCCAATAATAGCCAAAGAAAATGAAAATTTCAATAATTTGACCTTCAAGGTCAAGGTCATTTATGAGTGGAGGTCAAGGTCTGTCTGGTTAATTTAAAGGGACTTTTGACCTTGAAGGTCACGGTCATTTATGGATGAAGGTCAAGGTTAGTGTGGTCAACTGAAAGGTTTTGTCCCAAGGGTTGCTGTTGCCAAGTATGAAGACAATACACCAAGAACTAAAAAACTTATGATACAGGTACAAGTTTGCGGACGGCAACGGCAGCGGCAACGCCGCCAGGACTATATCAATACCTCTACTTTTTTGTACAATACTTTTTCAAAATTGTCTAATGATTGTTGTAAATCTTCTTGCTGTTTCAGAAAATATAACAACATCATCTGCAAATAATAACCAATATATGGAAATTTGATCTAAAGTAATACATGCTGTTGATCTTGCTGTAAGTACATCATAAATAAAGAAAAAAGCAGAAGTTATTTCCCCTTGTAATATTCCAATATCACAGTTGAAAAAAATCTGATAGATTATTCATATATTTAACACACAATTTGATATCTTCGTATAATGAACGAATAATCTTAAATAGTTTTCCATTTCCACCACTCTATAAGTTTTGCCCGAAGCCCATTTCTATAAATAGTATCAAAACATTTTATAAGATCTATGAAACAGCAAAATAGATTTTTATTGCTTAATCTGTTTTTCAATCAAAGCATTCAATATGAATTCCGATAGGTACAACACACATCCAAAGGTTATTTGCTAGAAGTCCATGTCCCACTTCAAGGTTCTAGACTTGAATCGGCACCTTCTCCTGGCAATCGTAAGGACAGTTTTACAGACTAGTATTACCCGGGGGCAGTTTTTGTGAAACATGGGAAAGATATTTCCCTGCTCCCCTAAAACATTGGGGATTTTGAAAATCTTAGAAAGTGATCTTCCCCTTTTAAAAACACAAGTCAAACTAAAATCCCAAAAAAAGGGCATAAAAATTTTAAATGAACCCCAAAAAAGGGAAAGTTTTAAATCAAATCCCAAGTGCATTTCATGGAAACTTGAAAATTTGATCGCTTAATGTGTGCGGCTTAAAAACTAGGCTAAAGTATCTTGAATTCATAAACATTATAGAACATTATTCAATTTTGTGTGTAACTGAGACTAAAATTGATAAAAATGACATTATATTTGTACCAAATCCAAACCTAGGACTGAACAAGAGCTGTCCGTAAGACAGCGCGCTCGACTTTTTTATTGCTTGCCAATAAAAAAAGTTTTTGCAGTAAAAGGCAATACAAGAATCTCTGTATTTTTAAAGTGAACAATGGCCATGAGCATTAAGATATTTAGTGAAGAATAATTTTACTGAATTGTGTGATACCCTTGAACACTGCAGGTTCAGTGGATAGGAATGAATTTTTTTAGATTTTTTAAGTTTTTTAGTGCTTGCCTATAATACAAAACATTGACAGTTAAGGGCCATAATTCAAATAAAATCTTTGACAGAATTACCTTCTCCTGGACATGTTTGGGAATCATGATTGTAAACAAGTATTCCAACTTTCAAATTAATATCTCAAACAGTTCAGTCAAAAAGTGGACTGGTACTAAAAACTTAACCAAGATTCTAAGGTTGATAAAAGGCCTTAATTTTTAAAACAAATCCTTGACAGAGTTACCTTCTCTTGCGTACAGATGGGGGTAATGATGTGAAATAGCATTAAAAGTTTCAAAGCAATATCTCAAAGGGTTAAGGCAATAAGTGGATTTTACCCATATTCAATGTATTTTCTAAGTCAAAAAGGGGCATAATTCGGTCAAAAACCTTGACAGAGTTATGTCCTCTTGTCTGTTGATGAAGGTCGTGATGGTAAACAAGTATGGTCAGTTTCAAAGCAATACCTCCAATGGTTTTGAAATAAAGTGAGGTGGTACAAAAAACTTAACCAAGCTCAATACACTTTCTAAGTCAAAAAAGGGCCATAATTCTGTCAAAAACCTTGACAGAGTTATGTACTCTTGTCTGTAGATGGAGGTTATGATGGTGAACAAGTATGGTAAGTTTCAAAGCCATACTTGTAATACTTCTGAAATAAAGTGGGGTGGTACGAAAAACTTAACCAAGGTGTGACGCCAACGCCGACGCCGACGCCGACGCCGACGCCGGGGCGAGTAGGATAGCTCCCCTTTTCATAGAAAAGTCGAGCTAAAAATCTGCAAACGAAAATCTGGCACAATCGGTTTTTTTCGTACATGATTCTTATGTTAAATCAGTCGGCTGTTTTTACACTTCGACTAATTGAGATGAAAATATGTTGGACTTTAATTGACGGGACCAAATTTTCTTTTCGACTAAACAGGAGTCTCGGTAAGTCGAAATTCGACCTAAGCGAAGTTAAAATACAAAGATAAAGAAGGAATTGGATGGGACTTTAGAAATTCTTCGACTAACGCGGAATTTCGAGTAAAGCGATTTTGACTTATTGAGAGTCAACTGTATATAGAGATTTTAGACTCTAAAAATTAGTACATTTAATGGTTAAAAGTTAACACATATTATCAAAATCACCAAAACAATCACGCTTCTTTAATGATCAAAATGATATTTCTGTTAAATGCAGTAAATACGAAATTGTATTGATAACTAGAGATTCAAATGGACATACTTCTACATTACCAGATTATCTAGAATTTGATGTTTTTTATCATCCTATCTTAATTTTGATGATGCTACTTTGGA